ATATATATATATATGAGATCTCAACTTAGAATATTTGATAGACTTAAAATATTGCATGTCATATTCTAAAATTTATTAATTCCAAGATATAATATGGAGTCAAGCATGAATAACAATATCATTATGATGAGTCAAAACGACTAAAAACGCGCGTTTTAACTCATAAAGTCATAAAATGTTGGACTCTGCGAAATTGCATACTGATAGGTCAAAATGACTAAAAATAGTAAAAAATTGTGCGTTATTGACTAATGATATTGTTTATTATGGACTTTTCGAAATTATTTGTCAATGGGTGGAAATGGCTAAAAATGGCCAAAATTCGTGCATTATAAGTCAAGAAACCGTGAATTTTTTACTGCGCAAAACAATTTGTCAATGGCCTAAATTGACCAAAAATGGCCAAAAAAGGTGCACTACTACTTGTGAAATTGTGAATTTTATACTCCATGGAATTATTTACCAATTGGTCGAAACAATTGAAAATGATCGGAAATCGTGCGTTATAGCTTATGAAATTATGATCTTTGGCCGTCGTGGAATTATTTACTAATGGGTTGAAACAAGCTAAAATGCCTAATATTTGTGCATTATTGCTTATGAAATCGTGAATTTTGACCTCTACAAAATAATTTGCCAGTGGGTCAAAATGATTACAAATGGCTAAAAATCATGTGTTATAACCCATAAAATCATGAATTTGGGACTCTGCAAAATAATTTGCCAATAAGTGCTAACCACTAAAAATGACCAAAAATAATGTGCAATAATTCATAAAATCATAAACGTTTTTTGCCGTCAAATAAGATCCAAATGGCTAAAAATGGTCAAAAACCGTCTGTTATAGCTCATAAAATCATGAATTTTAACCTCCCTAAAATTATTTACAAATGGGTCAAAATGACTAAAAATGATAAAAATTATCAGTTATAGTACATTAAATCGTTAGTTTTACCCATGCAAAATTATTTCCTAATGGGTCAAAACAGCTAAAAATAGCAAAAAATCATGCATTATAGCTCATAAAATCATGAATTTTGGTTTCCATGATTTTATTTGCTAGTGTGCCCAAATGACTAAAAATGCCTAAAGATTGTGCGTTATTGCATTCCTATTCTTTCCTCTCTCCCTCTTTCTAGTTTTCATTTTCTTTTAGAGAACAAAAATCCATAAACCCACTTTCAACCCTTTTTTTATTATAAAAACCTCTTTTCATATAACTTTATAAAAGAAAAAAATCTCTAATTTAAAACCAAAACATCCCTCCTTGTGGTTCAATATTCTCTATACTATAATTTATTGTGCGGTTACAATACATACATTTCTTACACAACATCAAACGAAACATGCCTCTCAAATATCAAAGCAATTCCATCATGATTTGATACACACGAATGCTTGATATCTTTGTTAGTTTCCTCTTTCTTGATTTGTCATGTTTTACATTTGATCAAGTTTTTAGTGATAGAAAATCATAAGCATTCACTCATAGTTGCAATGTATCCTAAATCGAGATTTTTTTTTTAAATTTAAACAGAAATCATTATTGATTTATGTCACGAGAGACACACCCAATATTCAAACGTAAGGAATCATCATCATCATGTATATACCATATCATTGCCCTAATCATGCATTCCTCTAGGGTCAAATTTCATGATAACGAACCAAGCAAAACAAAAATCCAAGGTCACCTAGGCCACCATGCATAATATTGTCCATGGATTTAAAGGTGTAGCATAACAGGATACAACATAGCAGAAACATACGATGCATCATTATGTGATAACATAGCACAACTAGCTTTACTTGAATCTAAACATGGATATAACATGCTCTCAATAAACTAAATATAAGCCAAAAGAACTTTAATCAAATGGCTATTTTTATCTCAAGATAGCAAGAGCAAGCATTACTACATTCTAACATCATAACACATAGATGGAAACCAAAAAATCGTGGAAACAAACTCGAATGGAACAAAAACCCAAAATTAAAAGAATCTATTATCTTGCGTTGAGTGATGAGCGCTCAGAGATTAGGCTCATACGCTCATCCCGATGCCATGTCAGCTAAGATAGATCTAAGATAATCTATTCTTGTGATTTGAAATAGATCCCACAAGAAACTCTCTCTTAATCTCACTAAAAGATTTCTAAAACCCTAGATTTCTCCCCTTAGTACGTTATCTCTACTTCTCTCTTACAATATTCATCTCTCCTCGGCTTGATCTTTATAAACCTTGGACCTAGAAGATATCTTTTATAGGTCCCAAAATTGGATACAATACCATATATGAGTCTTAACCCGAATAGAATACAAAACAGAACCAAACTACGAATTACCCGAAACCAGTCTAACTAGCTAGTCTAATTGGCCGGTATACCAATAAAAGATTCTATTACTCTAACTCGCCAGTCTTGCTGTTGCCACTCACAGTTTTGCCTCATTTCGCTTACCGCTTTGTTTTTGACTCTTCAATTGTCTTTTAGGGCTGGAATACAAGGTCCTTCCCAACAATTCACATGTGAGTTCGGCAGAAGCCACAACTCTTTGAAGTCATGGGAAATACAAGGTCATTCCCAACAATATCTTTTAAGTTTTTTTTCCACTTAATCCTCAACAAATTTAGGTTGATAACTCTAACGATGGTTGCTTGTAGTTTTCAAATTCTTTCGAGGGTTTGTTTGTAATTCTCAGACTTCTCAATTGAAATACAAGGTTGTTTCCCGACAATTCACTAGTGAGTTCGGCAGAAACCATAACTCTTTGAAGACGCGAAGAGTAATTTGGTTTATTCACGAGGCTCTCTTTTGTGATCCTTCGTTTAAGAGAGACTGTATTTTATTTGCTGGCAATAGTAAGCATTAAGAAGGGCTCTTCATGCTGAAGTAATAGATTGGAGATGTTCTTGATTCGATTATCTATTTGGTTTGCTCTACATGTGTTAGTGATTGTTAGAGAGAATATATTATATGCTTTCAGAGGTGTGGTTTGGGATTAGTGATTGAGAGATCTTTACTATTTGTATTCCTCATAATTGTTAGTAAAACTATTCATCTCATTTGCCCATGGATGTAGGCAACAAGCTGAACCACTTCTATCCATATATTACTTATGTTCTCGATGTTTATTTATTCTTTCGTATGATTGATATTTATTACTTATGTTCTCGATGTTTATTTATTCTTTCGTATATTACTTATATTCTCGATGTTTATTTATTCTTTCGTATGATTGATATTTATTTATCCCGGGGACTTGTCATGATAGAAGCACACAGCTCAGGCTCTTGACCCGAAAACCCTTAAGCTTCACGGGCTGTGATCTTTCAAAGTTGATGGGTGAGCCTTTGCGTGTGGGGTGTTGAGAGTTTTGAGGCACCTGAAGAGGATGAAGAGCAAGCACAAGCACACGAGATTCATGAGGAAGATGAATAGTTCAACATGTGATATTGAACTGATGGATTCGGCATTTGGTGCCTTGTGGACTGTTCAGCAGTGGTAGATCAATGGAGAACTTGCAATGGGATTGTTAGCTAGATTTATTATGCTAATTCCTTATTCCTTTATTGATTGCAAATGCAGCAAGCATGAGGCAATTGATTAGAACTTGGAGATTTATGATGTGGCCTTTGCTTATGCGTCACATATATATCTTATTCATGCGCCTCCAGCAAATTTGTTCATTCTTTGAGGGAAGTGTTCATTCTTTGCTAGTTATTAATACTTTAACTTTACATGACTTTGCACTTATATACCCTAAATATTTCTTTTGACCTTTAATTAAATACCCCCATTAATTTCTAAAAAAACACATTACTACCTTCTGTTAGTTAAATTATGGAATGTTATTGTTAAACATTGGAATACGCCTCTAAAAATTTCCATATGTTATGCACGATATGAAAATTGGTTAATTTCCATGTAACTTGCAATCTTTAACTAATAGAAGACAGTAATGAGCAACTTTTAAAGACCATAGGCATCTAGATGAGAAAAAAACGCTCTCAAGTAGGGGTGCTAAACCGTATCCGTATCCGAGGAAATATCTGTAACTGTATCCGTTAGGATACGAATATGGTTACTCAAATCTATAACCGATAGTATGTGGTTACAGATATGGTTTTATAGTGCAATTTCCGTATCTGTATCCGAAATATCCGGATAAATATTAGTCATACTCTTACGATAGTTTCGATTATTAGATTATGGATTTGTGGTTAATTTTGATGATCACGATGTCTAATTTTAGCTTTTCAGTTATAATAAATATATTAACGAACTCTTTTGTATCACATTAGCTATGAATTTCTCAATACTTTCCAGTTCTCTCGTATCCGTTTTGTATCTGGATGCATATTCGTATCTATATCCGTAATCGCATCCGATTTTAGCGGATATGGATATGAGTTTTCCTTACTGAGTCATATCCGTATCCGTATCCATATCCGAGATGGGTAAACAGATATAGATATAGTAAACATCGTATCCGAGCCGTATCGGGAAACGAATGCAAGTGCAAAGTCATTAGTTCTCGTTGCCGGAAACGAGGGGCAAAAAGAACCAGTAACTTTAACCCGGGAAAATAACAGAGCCCAACTTCAAAAATCCTCATTAATCACCAATCCAAATCGTAAAACCCTCTCAAGAACAAACCAAATGCCTCCTCCTCCTCTCCAATCTGCATCAGCCTTCGCCATTAGAAGCGCCTCCTCACCTCACCAAGCCCTCAATCTCTTCAAACTCCGCATCCAAAGAAACCCCAAACCCCTCGACCCCTTCGATTTTCATGCCGCCGTCTTCGCTCTAAAATCATGTTCATCAGTCCAAAACCCCACTATCATCCCTAACCTCCATGCCCATCTCCTCAAAACCAGCCTCGTGTTCGAAATCCACGTGTCGACAGCCCTGTTGCATTCGTACTCCGTTTCATCTTTCGGCAGCGCGCGCCAACTGTTTGATGAAATTCCTAATAGAAATACTGTCACATATAATACCATGATTAGTTGTTATATTAACAATGGTGATCTTACTTCTGCTAGATCAGTGTTTAATTCTATGGAGGGGCGAGATATTGCATCTTGGTCGGCGATGATTGGTGGGTATATGAATAAAGGTTATCGGATTAATGGGTTTTTGTTATTTCGTGAAATGATGAAGGTTGACGAGGGTTTGAAGCCTGATGAGCTTATGCTTGTGACTCTTTTATCGGGTTGCGCGGGTACCGGGTCCTTGAGCCTCGCAGGGAAATCAATACATGCGTATGCAATAAGAAGTTGTATAGAAGTCAATATGCAACTTGGAACTAAATTGATCGATATGTATTCAAGGTGTGGGTGTTTGAGGAGCGCAGCTCATGTGTTTGATAGAATGCCGACTAGAAATGTTGTACATTGGACTGCAATGATTTGTGGGTTAGCAAATCATGGGCATGGAGAAGAAGCTGTGATGTTTTTTGATGCGATGAAAGAAGCGAGAATTAAGCCAAATGATATCACATTTACCGGTGTATTGAATGCTTGCTGCCACGCTGGCTTGGTTGTTAAAGGCCAGGAGTATTTTCTCAGCATGGTTGAAGAGCATAGACTTGAGCCAAGCATTCATCATTATGGATGTATCGTGGACTTATTTGCAAAAAATGGAAGGTTGGAAGATGCATATGCTATTGTTGAGAAGATGAAGGTTGAACCTAATATTATTGTGTTAACTGCGCTGTTAGCGGGTTGTAAGATGTATGAAAATTTTGAGATAGCTGAGAAGGTGATTGATCGGGTTTTGAGAATGGCGATCCCTGATGATAATGGTGGGGTTTATAGTCTTATATCGGATTTGTATGCGATGGGAGGTAAGTGGAATGATGTGGAGAAAATAAGGAGGTTGATTGATGCAAGAAATGTGAAGAAAAATAGAGGGGCTAGTTTTGTTGAAATGGAAGAACTTAGAGCTAGTGTTGGATGACTAAATCAAGTTGTAGTTCAGTAAACTCAGTAAGTTAATTATGAAATGGTGGGTAAATATATGTACTCCTGTGAGTACTTGAGAAATCATCAGCTGAAAAAACCTCAATAAAGATGCCAAAATTTCCATATTAAAGGTGCTGATGAATTCCCATTTGAGGTGGAGGAAGTACTTTATGGAAAAGGAAATTGTAGATCACTGGGCGTGGAAAATTACATTTATGCTGTACAATGAGTTCGATATGCTGCACGTCCTGATACCAAAGTCCAGCGCAGAATTTGATTGCTAAATTATTCGTTCATCTCCTGAAACAGAAGAAATATGTACTAATTTCAGTTTTTTTCATTTGTCAAAGGTTACCTTCAATGTAACTTATTTCAATTTCGTTATTAGAAGTTTGAGCTGCAGAATTGTAAATAGCCTGGGAACCATGTTATGAGGAACTGCAGTGAAGTTGAGCCTTGTATCATGTCTCATTATCGGTTGAGTTTCTGAGATTTGATGTTTATATAGTCTGCAAAATGCTAATTGTACTACTTTGTTATGTTCTACCTATGTATTTTGGACGTAGCTGGCAACTTTAAATGTATGCCTATACAGGTGAATATAGTTCTAAGATCAAATAGATATTCATTAGCTAAGAGCTATCTTGAGACTATAATATAAAATTTGGGCATCAGAATCGTTCCCTAGCTATCTTATCTGATCTCCTTTTCACATAGTTTTATCGAAACTTTCTAATCTTCTTAATTGCATATTTCTTAAAATGTATTGAGATCTAACTTAGGATGTTGGATTATGAGAGGCTTTCAACTACCGTCTTTGCTAAAATTTAAAAAAACGAAAAATAGAAAAGAAAGAACACAAGAATACATAACATTTTTCAAGCATTCATAGTAAAATAACAATGAATCCATTAAAAAAGTTTTAAAAAAGAAAGAAAGAAGAGAGAAACGAAACTCTGCTACATTTGGTCGTATTATATTCAACCAAACTGTGCGAAAGTCTTTACTTGCAGATTCTACTACAACAAAACAACCAACCTTAATAATCAATAATTGGAAAAATCTTTCACAAACTCTAGCTGAATTTTAATGCCATAAAATTGCATTTCTATTTTCTTCTCAGGTACAAATACGTCAAACCTGAAGAAAGGATTATTAATCCAACAAGAACAAGATAAGCTAGCTCCACACTAGATCCACCTTCACTTTGCAATAAAGAACCAAAATAAAAACCAGAGATACAATAGTTTCTCATCAAGTTGCATCAAAGATGCAAGTTTTTCTTATCATTAGTTGCATCGCTATCCATCACGTATCAGCAAAACATTTTGTTACATTTAGATTGCATATGATACCACATCACAACAACGCCACTCTACTTTTCTGGTGCTTTGGTGGTACCTTCACTGGTTTGCTTCGGTACTGGTTGAATCCTAACATATGGATTCCTCGTCAGTGTTTCTCCTCTTAGAGCTGCTACATATCGATCATTAGTATTTTCCTTGCGTTGAAGCTCTCCAAGGTATTCTGCTAGCCTTTCCCGGTTCACTTGCCCCATCATCTGATTCCAAATATTCATGAAACAAAAACAAAGTGTAGCTCCATATTAAAAACAGCGGACAGCCAGAATGACATTACAAGAGGACATGAAAGGTAAAATTGCAGCAGTCGAATGTATTGTCCATGGTGTTCTTGTACTGCCCGGGAACATTGACGTAAAACTATTATACATGCTCTAGATTATCGGTAAGCTGCCAAACTAAAGATGAGGCAGACACATGATATGAACCAACATCAGCAAAAGCCGTGTAAGGCATTCATCAATCAAATGCGACTACCACGTTTCCATTTCTTTTCTTTTTCGAAGGAAACCAGTGGTAATTTTAACACGGATACACCCGCTTAGTTAATCATAATATACTACGGGCCGTAATGTTTGCAGCAACATCCATCAGGGTAGTGCCTGTGTAGTTGCCATACCATCACGGCATACCTCGCTCGCAACCCATCCAGATCATTCATCTCAATGATAAAGCTACCGAACATCAAGTTTTTGCATAGGATGGCGAGGGAATATTCAGCCCCCGAAGGCAAGATATAAAGTAACAGAGCAAATGATAATCGGATATTAAAAAAAATGTTAATTAAATGAGGTTCTACATCCAAAGAAAACAGTTACGAAGTGCAAAATTGTTAAAACTTTAAAGTTGTTCGTATGATTGAGAATACACATAAATTAGTAAGCTGGCAGAACACCATCAACAAAGCCTTTATCCCAAGTCTCGAAATTTTGGGGTCGGCTACACGAATTATAGTTTTCCATTCAGTTCTACTGTCATATCAAGCTAAGCCAGAAGACAACCAAAAATGCAAATGTAACTTGGTAAATGATAAACCTAAAACTGAGGTTCATGTTAATAACAAACTAACTTTAACTCAGAGATAATAGCAAACTTTCCAATGAACTGCATTCTCCTCCTAGCGCAAATTTTAATACGGGTCGCCGATCGCTACTAGGTTGTTAAATTCAAATGATCCAAATTTCCCTTATCCACAAACCCTAGCATGCAATTCTAACCATCAAAAGGGGCGCGTATCAAGATCAATATAATACTGAAAAATAGGTTATCTAAGGTCCAATCAAACCACTGAACACTTAAAAAGTTAAGAAAGATGAGATCTTTATGCGAACCAGGGACTCAGGGCGAGCGGTCTTGCGGAGGTGGGCCTCGAGCTCCTCGTTGCGGGAGCTGGTGACCTGCATGACGCCGTACCCGATGACGCCGGGGATGACACCGCAGAGAGTGGCGAAGGCGATGAAGAAGGAGCGAGAGTCTCGGGTCTTGCGCACCATCCATCGCCACGCCTCGCTCTTCTCCCACAACAGCGACATCGACGATCTCGATCCTGGTCTCCCCCCCTCTTTCTCTCTCTCTCTCTCTGAAACCCTCGATGATGATGATGAAGATGGTGGGATCAGTTTCGGGCCCAAATGGGTGGCTTATTGGGTTGTTGGATTTGGATCCGCAAGCCCATATAAAGAGGCGCACTTTGGGTTAGGATCAGGGGTGTGCAACGGTCGGTTCGGTTCGGTTTTTATCAAAATTTGAACAACCGAACCGAACCGTCTATAATTCAAAACCGAACCGAGCTGTTGCAAGTCGGTTCGGTGCGGTTCGGTTCGGTTTGTTCGATTCTAACTTCATCAAATTTCTTATCAAACAACAAACTGTGTTAAAGAAAAAAAATATCAACAAAGTAGGAGATTATGAAGCATTAAACACTGATATAATGATATTATTTTTAACCCATAATGATCCAGAAAATGAGTTTAGAGTTTGAGTCTTTGACTCTTTGGTGATGGGTCGGGTAGGGTTTGAGATCAGAATGAGTAGTATTGCACTATATTCGGTCGGTTCGGGTTGAAAAGTTTTCAAACCGACCCGAACCGCCCTACTCATAAAACCGATTTTTTCGGGTCGGTTCTGTCGGTTTTTTCGGTTTGCACCGAACCATGCTCAGCCCTAGTTAGGATAGCATAGTACAAGTACAAAATTTCAAAACCAACAAACATAATTATGAAAAATAATCTATTTGTAATTTAATTATCAAATTTTATTTTGATAAAAAGTTTCAAAACTTTATGGGACTTGAAGTCCCGTAAAGTTTAATAACGAATTTAAACTTCACGGGACTACGGGACTCGAATTCCTAAGAAGTTACGTAAATTATTTTGTTAAAATTGACCCCCCAGTTTCAATCAACTGGCTGAATTGGGTTAATTTGACAATTAAATTCAAAATGGATCGATATTTACAATTAAGTTTCTTAATGGGTTAGGTTTTGAAAATTTGTGCCCAGTACAATGTATATCCGCTTCATTAACAGACCTCCGTTCAGCGGTTGAAAAATCCGCGAACTATTCAATAGAGCCCTCGAACAGCAGGAGGAGGAGAAGAAGATTCCAAGGGGAGAAAAATGCCGGCGACCTCCACGATGTTGGGAGCTTTGCTGGGTTTAGGGACCCAGATGTACTCCAACGCCCTGCGAAAGCTCCCTTACATGCGCCGTACTGATCAAAACCCTAGCCTCGCTCATCGATTCTCCCCCCCTTTTTCCCAAAACCCTAGCTTTTATTGATATCTTCCTGGTTTCGGTTTGGTTTTCGTTTGATTGCAGATCCATGGGAGCACGTTCTTGGGATGGGGCTGGGTGCGATCTTTGTGAATCAGCTGGTGAAATGGGATGATAAGCTCAAAGAGGACCTCGACAAGATGCTCGAAAAGGCCCGGGCTGCTAACGAGCGCAGATACTTTGGTATTTTTATCTTTTCTTTCCATTTCAATGTTTCAATTTGATCTAGATTGTTTGATTCAGTTGGTTCAATATGTATCAGAAATTTAATTTTGAAAAAAAAAACAATTTTTATCCTCAGGACATTGAAGACTTGTTTCTCTTGGAATCAATTCTTAGGCATTTGCATTATTAGCAGCTTGATAGCATGCAACGATGCTTAGACAGGGCAAACATCTCAGTCTTAGTGACCTTTCATAGTGTCTTAGTGACCTTTTCCTTGTTTCATAGTGCCTTAGCCACCATGCACTAACTAATATAGGGGCGCTCGTGCGAGGCTACTATGTAGATCTTTATCCTCAGGACATTGAAGTCTTGTTTCATAGTGTTTTTGTAACTCTGTTGTTGAAGACCACCAAGATGAATTGTGGAAAGCTAATTGTAAATGTAGCTAATTTGTTGCCCTTTTGAGATGATGAATATGTAGAGGGGAGTTGTACAGTTTGAGGGTCTCTTTTTGGTTGTTCAATTGATAGGATACTGCCTGTAAGGCATTTGTAAATATAGAGGGTAATTACTTCTTAATTTGAAACTGACATATCTTGCCCAAAAACCCACGATTTTTTTCTCTGTTTCGTTCCGGTGACAATTAATTATGCATACTTCAAAATATGCGAATTTTATGGCTTATAACTGATGATTTTTTTTTTCCATTTTCATCCATTTCAATCCAATGACAACTAATTACACATACTTCAAAATTCTAGAATTTTGTAAGTTATAACTCACGATTTTTGTCCATTTTCATCTGTTTTTCGACCCAGTGACAATTAACAATGCGTAGTTTCAAACTCGCGATTTTCAAGCGTGCTAACCCACAATTTCAGTCCATTTTGGTTTGTCCACCTAATGAAAATTAATTGATGTACTTTACAATTCACAATTTTCATGGGCCATCACCCAAGATATTTGTTTATCTTCATCCATTTTCGACCCAATGAGAATTGAGTTTTTTTCTTGAAAACAAGCGATTTTCATGGAATATATACCCACGATTTATTTTTCCACTTTTGTTTGTTTCGACCTAATGGAAATTATTTGATGTACTGCAAAATACACAATTTTCATGGGCTTGTAAACCACGATTTTTGTCTATTATTGAGCCAATGGCTACTAATTATGCATACTCTAAAATTCGTGATTTTCGTGAGTTATAACCCATTATTTTTTATCCATTTTATTCCGTTTCGATCCAATGATAATTAATTATGTGTATTTTAAAACTCGTGATTCTTAAGGGCCATAAAACAAAAGACTCGTGTCTAATTTTGCTTGTTTCGGCCTAATAAAATTTATTTGGCATAATAGAAAATTCACATTTTTTATGGGCTATAGTTTTCGATTTTTTTCAATTTTCATCCATTTTACCCAATGACAATTAAATTATTTTCTTCAAAAATCACGATTTTCACGGATTATAATTCACGATTTTTGTCCAATTTTGTTTGTTTAGCTACTGAAAATCATGAATTTTTGGCTCTGCGAAATCATTTGTTACTGATTTGTAAATGTTTCTAAATGACTAAAACTAATAAAAAAATAAAGGGTTATCCCAAAATCGTGTGTTATAACTCATAAAATCATAAAGTTTGGCCTCCACAAAATTATTTATCGAAAAGTCTAAACAACTGAAAGTGGACAAAAATCATGCATTAAGCTCATGAAATCGTGAATTTTGGCATCCACGAAAAATTTTGCCAATGCGTGAAAATGACTAAACATGCCAAAAATCGTGGTTATAGCTCGTGAAATCATGAAATTTGGCCTCCATGAAATTATTACCCATGGGTTGAAATGACTCACAATGGTCGACAATTGTGCATTATTGCTTATAAAATATTTATTTAAATATTTTGGCCTCTCCAAAATTATTTGTTAATGGGCCGAAACGAATTAAAATGACAAAATCATGTGATCTTGCTCATGATATCATGAATTTTAGGCTCAATTATTTGTCAATGAGTCAAAACAACTAAAAATGGTCAAAATTCATGCGTTATAGTTCATGAAATCGTAATGTTTAAACTCCGTAACGCTTTTTGCCAATGAGTTGAAACGACTGAAAACAGCCAAAATCGTGAGTATAGCTCATTAAATTGTGAATTTTGGACTCCACGAAATTGTTCACCAATTGGTCTAAACAAATAACAATAACCAGATATCATAATTTATAGCTCATAAAATTATGAATTTTGACTCCGCGAAATTATTTTTCAATGGGTAGAAAAAATAGTCAAAAATAGGGCGTCATAGCTCATGAAATTGTGAAGTTCGGCCTTCATAAAATTATTTGCCAAATGGTCAAAATGACTAAAAATGACCAAAAATTATGCTATGGTTCATGAAACCGTGAATTTTGATTTCTGCAAAATTATTTGCTAATGACTCTAAACGATCAAAACTAGCCAAAATCGTGCGTTATAGCTCATGACATCATGAATTTTGGTGTCCGCAAATTATTTGCTAATGTGTCAAAATGAATAACGATGGCCAAAAGTCATGGGTAGCTCATGAAATCGTGAAGACTACGCAAAATTATATGACAAAGGGTAGAAGCAACTAAAAATAACCAAAATTCATGCACTATATACCATGAAATCATAAATTTTGACCTCCGCGAAATTAGTTATAAATGGATTGAAATGACTAAAAATAACTTAAATAATGAGTTATAGCTCATGAAATTATGAGTTTTGGCCTCTGCGAAAGGTCAAAGGATTGAAATAATTTAAAATGGACAAAAATTGTGTTATAGCTCATGAATTTGTGATTTTTGACCACCACGAAATTATGTCTTTAAGTCGAAAAAACTTAAAACGATTAAAATCGTGCGTTATAGCTCATAAAACCGTGAATTTTTTTCCTCCATGAAATTCTTTGCCAATACGTCGAAACGACTAAAATGGACAAAAAATCATGGGTTATAACTTATCAAATTGTGAATTTTGACATCCACAAAATTATTTTCCAATGGTTGAAATGACTAAAAATTACCACAAATTGTGTTTTATAGCTCATGAAATTGTGAATTTTTATCGCCATGAATTTATTTGCTAATGAGTTGAAACAACTAAAAATAGCCAAAACTAATGGGTGATAGCTCATGAAATTCTGAAAATTGAACTCCGCAGTGGGTCGAAATGACTAATAATAGCAAAAACTTATGCATTGTAGCTCATAAAATCATGAATTTTGGCTTACGCAAAATTATTTGCCAATAGGTCGAAATGACTAAAAATAGGCAAAATTTGTGCATAATAGTTCATGAAAGCATGAATTTTCTACTCTGAAATTATTTGCCAATGGGTTGAAATAACTAAAAATGATCAAAAAATTCGTGCATTATCGCTCATGAAATCGTAATTTTTTTACATTCGTGAAATGATTTGTTAATAGGTTGTAATGTGACGAAAATGGCCAAATATTATGCGTTATTGCTTATGAAATTGTTATTTGCCAATGGGTTGAAATAATTAAAATAATAAAAAATTATGCCTTATATCTAGAAATCGTGAATTTTAGATTATGCTAAATTAATTGTCAGTGGGTCGAAACTACTAAAAATAGCCAAAATGGAGCGTTATAACTCATAAAATTGTGAATTTTGGCATTTGTAAAATTATTTACCAACGTTCAAAGTAACTAAAAATGGCCAATATTTGTGCATTATTGCTCATGAGCTTGTTTATTTTGGTCTCTGCAAAATTACTTGCTAATGGGACGAAACAACTAAAAATGACAAAAAATCATGTGTTATACCTTATGAAATCATGAAGTTTAGCCTATGCGAAATTATTTGCAATGAGTCAAAATATCTAAAAATTGCCAAAAATTGTATCATAGCTCATAAAATTATGAATTTTAGACTACGAAATAATTTTTCAATAGGTCTAAACAAATAAAATTTTGTAAATATCGTAGGTTATAGTTCATGAAATTGTGAACTTTGGATTGTGAAAAAATATTTTGTAGTGGGTAGAAACAACTAAAAGTGGCAACAATCATGCGTTAGCTCATGAAATTGTGAATTTTGACCTCGGTAAAATTATTTGCCAAAAGGTCGAAATGGCTAAAAATGTCCAAAAAATTGTGTTATAGCTTATAAATTCATGAATTTTGTCCTTTGAGATTATTTGCTAATCGTGAATTTTGGCTCTTCACGGCTAGGTTTTTAGAGCGCCAAGTGGAATGGAGATCACTTATGTGGACTGCACCACTGGATCTTGGTCATGATTTCCTCTGTTACTGTCACCACGTCCTCTAACTTCCTCTAAACTTCTCCGGCCTCCATCGACTATGAACACCTCCAACTCCTTCGATCTTTTGCAAAACATCCTCTGACACTACTTAAACAAAAAAATCCTATTAGGCCTATCTCTCTTAGTTTTGCACCTAGCGCTTTTGATAACCCTGACTGTAATTAAAAAATAAAAAGATAGGAAAATGCCTAGCTCTAGTCTAGGCTCAAGCCTAGGTGCTAGGCGTCGGGTTTGGCTTCTAGACTGTCTAGCGATTTTTGTAATATTGTTTCGACTTTATGGCAATTAATTATGCATACTTCAAAAATCTTCATTTTCATTGGCTATAACCCACGATTTTTGTTCATTTTCATCTATTTTGACCTAATGACAATTAATTAGGTGTAGTTTAAAACTTGCGCTTTTCAAGGGCTATAACCCACGATTTATATCCATTTTGGTTTGTCCACCTAATGAAATTTATTTGGTGTACTTCAAAATTCTCAATTCTCATGGGCTTTCCCATGATTTTTGTTAATTTTTCATCCATTTCGACCTAATGACAATTAAGCCCTTTTTCTTGAAAACTAGCAATTTTCATGGAATGTAACTCACAATTTTATTCCACTTTTGTTTGTTTTGACTTAATGGAAATTATTTGACTTCAAAATATGCAATTTCATGGGCTTATAACTCACGTGTTTTGTTCATTTTGTCCTTTTTGTCTTAGTGTTGACTAGTTATACTCCAAAAATTGTGATTTTTACGAGTTATAGCCTACTAATTTTGTCTTTCTTTATCCATTTCGAAAATTGTGAATTTTACGAGTTATAGCCCACTAATTTTGTGTTTCTTTATCTATTTCGATCCAATTACAATTGACTATGTACTTTGAACTCACTATTTTCAAGGACTGTACCCCATGATTTGTGTCTATTTTCATTTGTTTCGTCATAATAGAAATTATTTTGTATTTTTTAAAATTCACAAATTTAATGAGCTATAACTCATGATCTTTTTCATGGTTCGTCCATTTCAACCTAATGGCAATTAAATTTTTTTCTTTAGAACTTGCAATTTTCATGGGCTAAACCCACAATTTCTTTCCATTTTTGTTCGTTGTGACCTAATACAATTAATATGTGTACTTCAAAATTTCTACGTTTCATGGCTAATAACTCATGATGTTTGTCCATATTCATTCATTTTAACTCAATTACAAACTAATTATGTGTGCTTTAAAATTCACAATCTTCTTGGGTTATAACCCATGATTTTTGTCAATTTTCGTCTAACTCGTCCTAATAACAATTAATTATGCGTATTTCAAAACTCACGATTTTCCTGGATTGTAACCCACAATTTGTAGCCATTTCCATTTGTTTGACCTAATGACTTCAATTTTTTGGGGTATGTCCCACAATTTTTGTCAAATTTTGTTTATTTTAACCCAATGACAATTAAGTATCTTTTTCTTCAAGACTCGCAATTTTCATGACTACATTATGACCTATGATTTCTCAACTTCACTTATTTTGACCTAGTGGAAATTATTTGATGTACTTTAAAATATGCAATCTTCATGGGGTAGAACCTATGATTTTTGTCCATTTTTGTTGGTTTAGAGCCAATGACAAATAATTATGTGTACTTCAAAATTTGTGATTTACATGACATGTAACCAACTATTTTTGGCAATTTTGTTTCTATTCGACCCAATGAAAACTAATTTTCATGGGTTATAAGCCAAGATTTTTGTCAATTTTTGTCCGCTTCGACCTAATGACAGTTAAGTTTTTTTTATTTAAAACTCACAATGTTCATAGACTATAACTTACGGCTTCTATCCATTTTCGTTTGTTCCAACCTAGTTGATATTATTTTTCACACATTAAAATTTACTATTTTCATGGGCTATAACTCATGAATTTTGTCCATTTTGGCCCATTGACAACTATTTATGCATAATTAAAAATTTGCAATTTTCCCGAGCTATAAACCACATTTTTGGTCCATCTTTGTTTGTTTTGACCGAATGACAATTAAATTTTTGCTCTTCAAAATTTGTGATTTTCATGGCTATAACCCACGAATTTTATCCATTTTCGTACATTTCAGCCCAATGGAAACTAAGGTTTCTTTCTTCAAAATTTGTAATTTTCATAGGCTTTTCATTTTCATCCAACCAAATAACAATTAAGTATGCGTATTTAGAAATTCAGAATTTTCATGGACTATAACTCACGATTTTTGTGCATTTTGGTTTGTTTCGTCCAATGACAATTAATTTTCTTTTTTTTCAAAACTCGTGATTGCATATGCTATAACCCACAATTTCTGTTCATTTTCATTAGTTTTGACCAAGTAGAAAGTATATGGTATACCTCAAACTTCGGGATGTTTATAGGCTATAACACGCGAGTTCTTTTCCAGTTTCGTTAAAACTGACACAAATGCAGTAAACTAGGCATACTTCAAAATTTGCAATTTTTCTATAAAAAATTACAATTTTTCTATAAAAAATTACAATTTTTCTATAAAAAATTACAATTTTTCTATAAAAAATTACAATTTTTCTATAAAAAATTACAATTTTTCTATAAAAAATTACAATTTTTCTATAAAAAATTACAATTTTTCTATAAAAAATTACAATTTTTCTCTAAAAAATTACAATTTTTCTATAAAAAATTACAATTTTTCTATAAAAAATTATACTTTTTATTGGTTATAAAACACGATATAAGCATAATTTCTCCAAATACATGTTGGACACTAGCTCAAAATTCACAATTTGTGGCTTCGCCACTAGTTGACAATCTAGATGTATGACAAGTTACAAGCACACGAGGTTCCAGCATGAAAGAACACACTAACTATGATTACTCATGTATGTTTGTTAGCATAAAGAAAAGCTACATAAAGGGCGTATTTGGTTTGCTTGGAATAGAGTATGTCACACAAACCCAGAAAATCAGTTTTCTGAAAGTACTTTCCTATTTTGTTGTTTGGCTCCCAAAAAGTTTTTTGGAAATCAAAACCAAAAGCTCCAAAAACGTCGCTATATCTGGAAAAAGCCATTTTCTAGCTTTTTGAGCGGAAATTGCTGGAAAATTCATTGTATTACATTAAAATAAGGGAGCACATCATGGAGACGTTTTTAGCAAATCATCAGCTTTTCACTCTTTCCTCGAGTCTCTTGGGAAATGGCTAGCCAATACAAAAGGGTTTCTCTCATTATCTCAACCAACCAACATTTTAACACAAAACTTATTTTTAAGTGGGATCTCTTCTAATTCGCTATTCACCAAAAGTAGTAGCTCCTTGATATTCTGGTGGTGGGTCCCATTGCAACGGAATTGTTTAAGTAGGGACATCAATTTGCAGGCGATGTGACCCTTAGTTTCAGAGGTTCATTTGTCTTGTCTCCCCAAGTCACATAATTTCTTGTAACTTTTATCATGAGTTCTATATCTTGCCTTTCTACTATGAATACAGATCCTATCAGAACCACCCCTATAGGAGTGGGTGGTTTGCACCGTAAATAGAATAGCTAAATATTCCAAATTAACCCTCTTTTAACTACGCATGAATGGTATAGATCACCCAATTCTATGGGGGTGTTCTGATAGAATCACCACTCTTCTACCATGTGTGGCTACTCCCTACTTACCCTTGATTCTTAAATGAATCAGTAGACTGAAAGTGTTGATTTGATAAACTAATCACCGTCTTGCAATAAATATCACATGTCTTCAGTATTTCTAATGTGGACTGTGGGTGTTACATTTGTAGTGGGAAAAGCTTGTTGACTATGTTCAGTAGCCAAAACTAAGGATTACAGTAGGTGTTGCTGACATGAGATTTGAGTTGCCAATATAAACATGAATGGCATTAGGCCATCATTAGTGATTTGTTTGCACCACCTAACAGGGTGAGGGCTTCATTCATATCTGCATTTTAAATAAAACACCGACTCTTATACTGTAGGTTCAACCTATTCAGACTTAAAACATGCAATTAAAAAAGGAACGCTGCTTTTAAGAGTTTTCCAAGAATTCGCTGTGACAAATTGTTCTCTTTTATACATGTTGTATTGTGTGCTCAAGTATATATGCTCTCATTTTAATACCAATTTTAAAATTTACATCGAGTGAAGTGTATTTCAAACCTTTGTAACATAATGTAGTCATTTTTTACATACTTTGTACAGTTCTAACTCGAACTTTTTCTTTCTTCATTTGCAGATGATGATGAAGATTAATATTTCTTCAGTTGCAGTTTTAGTCAAGACGCATAATATCTCAAAGGCATCCCTCTCTTTCTGTGATAGCTCATAGTTAACAGGGCATGTCCAACTGTTTGTGCTTCTATTATACTGTTTTGATATTCAAGTTCCTGTTCTCAATAAGCTTGGTTTTTTTGACATTTTTTCCCCTTTGATGATATACTAGGTTATTAATGGTTGTATGAGTTCTGATTTTGCATGAAGAAATGATGTTAATAATATCCCACTCAGGCTTGATTGGTCACTAGTTCAAATGAGGAGACATGTATATCTAAGTTTATGGCTGTTAGCGGGTCAACAACCAATTGCTTGCTAAAGCTAATCTGAGAGTAGAGTATATATGGTCTGTGAGATCGAATTCAAGCCTTAGTCCAAATAGACAGGTATAATAGACTTGATATGACAAAATGGAGAAAAAAGGCCTTGCGGTTTTCTACCTGAACTTCAGAAACTTGTGCTTAGTGTCCTTTCACTTTATATCAGATCAATCAGTGTATGAGAATGACATGCTTCTCTCTACTTGTTCTTGGTTTGATAATGCCAGTCTGCTTGCTGTTTGTGCTGGCATCCCACGTCATCCTTTGAATTGGATCGTTCTAGGTTGTTTGATATTGAATTGAATGTCTTTTCCATGACATCCTACACACGGTCGGATTAACTTATTTATCTCCTATTGCGTGGAAATTCGAAAAACAATTTATTACTTCAGGTCATAATCTATATTCAGTTCCCAAATTGATTAATAGAGGACTGAACACAAAGGGCCGAAGAATTACAGATGAATCTACAAAAAAGAGTTTGGTGCCATTTTTTTATTCATATAGTTCGGTAATATTGACAGTAGCCAATATCAGCCAATATATCAGATTTTCAAATCATTTGATTGATTGGGTTCAATATGTAGAAACATTTCTCATTATCATAGTGGATCCTCAAAGAAGGGGGGTATCCTTTGATCCTAAATTGTCCTTGGTTGGAAGGAAATATTCTTCTCTTTAACAATTTCTGTAAATCTTGGGTATTTGAATATAAAGTTTCTGTGGACTCCGCGGAACACCTAATCCTCATCCTCACAACATTTCCTTCGTTATTTCGTTGATTTGTTTAGCTTTGGTCTTCTGCTTTTATGGTTCTTCGTGCATTGAGAGGTAGCCGATTTGTTGATGTGTCATTTAAATCTTGAATGCATGTTGTAGATGACCTAGATCTAGCCCACTAATTTTGATGCATGGGCCTACATTTGACTTGTGCAGCAGGCAACTTGTATACTCCAGACTCAGAGATGAGACGAAACTTCTGTGCTTACTGCCTACTACTTTGATTCAAATCTTTGGTGGGGTGTTTTCTTATGGATACAACAAATTGGTAACTTTACATTACAACAAGAGCTCACACAAGCCAGTCTGTTATGGAATATTCTCAAGATTTTAACAATCAAATCCCTTTAAGTACTATATCTTCATTTTATTGTTCACAACAATAGTAGACAAAGAACAAGTTTGACTCTGGTCACAACAGGTCCATGCAATCCCTTAATATACTATGATCATGTGAGTCCTTATATGTTATAATTTCCCTTTCTTTGATCATGTCATACCATTAGAAAGATCATCCCTTGTGATTCATTCTCGTTCTGCTTGAGGGCTCTTTGTGCATGTGCTTTGGTCTCTCTGTATGAACTTGTTTATGTTACAATTGACCCTCTTGCAGACTCAATTCATGCTTGTATTCAAAAATTGTTGCAGTTCTTAAGGTCGTAGGTACATCTCTAGACAGGAACTTAAATCGTTACTGAAATACACTACTGAAAACATGCAAGCTGGTGCCTTGTGCCTCTAACTCTCATAGAGTGGACTAGTTAGGTCAAGGCAAAATGGCAACAGTGAGTCTATCTGTTTTTACTGTCCTGGTGGAATTTAAATTTAGCAACGCATCTTTCAACTTTGCCAATTATCAGTGAATGCGAACCATTTCGCTAAACCTTTACTGTTTTGAGAAGTACAGAATAGAGGCTGAGAGCTAGTTACCATATTCAACCCAGAAGAAACTAGTATACGTTATGCCATGTAAATTTTGTGATATTGGTAGTATTGAGAAGAGTTAGAGTAGGATCTGTAGAAGATTTTTAAGTGTGAATAAATTTATGATTAGCCCTTTTGTCTGGCAATTAGTCTAGTTCAACCAGGTCGGTGTCCAGATTGGATATATGTTTAGAGTAAACGGGTCAAAACCAGTGCTTGTTGAAGCCAATCACAGAGTATGAACAGCCTTATTAGGTTAAACTCTACCCTAGTCCAATTAGCTATGAACAGGCTCAATAAAGATTTTCAGAAAAAGTAAAAGAAAGAGAGAGAAAAAAACTTATGCTTTGCATCATCCAATGTGCAAGAATGTACGTGCTTTCCTCCTTGTTTACAGTTCTAGTAATGTCCTCTCTGTGTGCGGTTCGTGCTGACATCAATCCTATATCATCCTTCGAGTTGAATCATTCTTGGTTGTTTGATGCCAAGTTGAATGGTTTCGGGTTTGGTTGGTACTAGGTACTTTCATGACATCCTGCAGTTTGGTTTACTTATTTGATGCCTAACTATGGGTTTCCACTGCCACCTACTTGCATTCTTCAAATTTTCTGTATTGCTCCTTTAATATAAGATGGTTGTTCATACATCAATATTAAGCTGATTTGATTAGTAGTCAAATATTTGTAGGCATGGAGATTATTTAGATGTAGCACTCTATTTCTTGATGCATGGGCCTACATTTGACTCCTGCTGCAGGCAATTTATATAAGCTGATAAAAACTGATATAGTCAAATTTTGGCATTTCATGAAATTTTGTTAATCCAAATCCATTTAAATACAATATCTTTGTTTCACTTTTCAATACATGGTTTTAACGGTAATCTTATCTTTCCCGGTCTATTGATTCCCTACTCTCGCGGCTGGACACACAACTAGTTTAATGAGAAGATTGGTCTATTGATTCCCTACTCTCGCGGCTGGACACACAACTAGTTTAATGAGAAGAATGGACAAATAATGGACAGGTTTGACATTGGTCACTAGAGGTTCAATAAGTTTCCTGCATTACAAACTATCATCATGTTGCAATAATTCAAGTTGGTGATTTGTTTGTTTCTCATTTTATTATGATCTTTTGTTATGACTGTTCTATACGATTAGAGAGATGATGCCTTGCTACTTATTCTCTCTAGTAAATAAATTTGTTTCTGGCACGGTTGTCCTCTCTTGTGGACTTAAACTACATGCTTGTCTACATTAAAAATTGTTACAGATCTGAAGCTGCTATGTCCTAGACAAGTTCTGAGGTATAATTTCAAAAACATAAGTGTGCAGGCTAATGCACCATGTCTTGTACCTTTGACCACAATGGTAACCAAATTACTCGTCTTTGTTCAACTGGGAAAAAAAATAATAGCAGTTCCCTTATTTGAGCTTTATCGCAGATCAACGATTGTCAAGATTTATCGGTATCTTGATTTGTTTGATCCAGGAAGGAATTCCTTGAGCCTGAACGCAAGTTGCCGATTGCATCGAAATCTTTTGGCCAATTTGGCATCCATCTCTAACCTTCAGAAGAACTTAAGACTAGGTATCTTAGGCTTTCTCTGTGAAACATCTGATTGTAGGATATATAGAAGGTGTAATTACGAGAATGTAAGTATCCAATAGTTTTGGAGTTGATTTCCTGCGGCATTTCCTGCATTTTTAAATTGCTGCAAACCAATCAGATCATGAAGTAAGCTTGTCATCCTCTTCAAAGGAACAGGAGATGATGAATCACCCAAGTTTGTTTCTTCTTAAAACGGTCAAAATTCTGCAAGTTGACAGAAATGGTTCATTATCCTTTTGGCTCATCTTGTGATGCTTTTTCCGTGACATAAACAGACAATTTGAGGTTTTGACATCGAATTCATACTCATCATCTCTATTTTAAATATGGTCAGATTGGTGAATAGATTGTTCCTTTGCTTCTCATTTTATAAGACTCTTATTATTCTCTGCTTAGCTATGCAGCTGTAAAAAAATATATGATGCCTTGTGTTGTGGCTCTATCTATGTACTCTCTGAATACTTCAAGGGCTCTACTTTCTGTGTGTGATTAATCTCTTCACATGCACTATTCCTTGTTGGTTGTCCTGCTTCATGGATTGTTACTTGATTTTCTATTTAAAAATAACACTGCAGATCTAATGTAGGTGTGCCAACATACTACAGGGCTTTTACAGGGCAGCGTTCATGAATACGTTTTTTTTTTTTCCTTATTGTTTTATTTTTATTTTTAATTCCAGTGGACTTAGTTTAAGTTCTATAACAGTTGGGTGGTGTCCAAATCTTTAGGGTCAAAACAAAGACTATATTTGCTGAAGACCTCATGGGGGCCAATTCACAGTTTTATGGATTTTTTAAGCTTTTGCTGCAATGCAAGTTTTAGTTAATTGAATTTGTTGTGATACATATGAAAGATATGATTGTTTGGTACAGAGAAGGAAGTAGAGGTAGCTATAGAGGGGTGGTTTACCAAATAATTGGCTACACCATTAAAAATATTGCAAGGAACAATCAATCAAAATCTTCCAATTAACCCATCCTTATCTAAGTTCTGCCTTTATGAGTCAAATAATATTTGGTGTAAAGGTTTTTCATCTCCTGCACTCATGCGCTAGTTTAGCTTCCCACGTATAGAGACCCTCTTGCCACAAAACAACAGTTAGCAAACTATTTTATAATGCTGAAGGTGGCTCTAATTGAGAGGTTGCTACATTCTTTTACTCTCCAAAGGAAAATGGTGCAAGAGGACACTTGGGTTCGGTGGCTCAACTCCAATCACGTCCCTTTGCTTATTGGTTTTGCATTACATTTAAAAAGAAGTGGATAAATTACACCAAAAAAAAAAAAACTTTTTTGTACTACAAGTTTTCACGGAAACTTTTCTATGCTATTTGGAGCCAAGTAATTAAGGAATTAATAACTCTTTCTTAATTTACAAGATACTCAAATATAAGAATCACAGAAGGATTTCATTTAGATAGTGTTGATGTTGAGTGATCACACCGTCAGTTATATCCGTGGTTGGATGGGGTTGTTGAGTATTGATGAGGGGTCGCTTTCTTCCCCGACTTTATATCTGGTTCTTGGTTTGAGTGGCTGAAAAATCTGCACAAGTAGAATCTCGTAAGAGGATGGGGCTTGGGTCCTCCGTGGTTCCTCCGACGATCAAGTCAGCTGGTGAACTTAAGTGGGGAAAAAGAACTATGAGTTCTTGCGTGTGTGATATGGTTCATAGAAGACACTGATTTTGTAGAAAAAAACCAGGATCGAATCATAATCGAATCCAGCCTCCTATCAGCCTTTTCTCAGCCTCCTCGAATGAGGGAATAGTACCTTGCATTTATAGTGGTGCCGAAGGGGCGGATCAGTCACTTCGGCCGAGCACAGGATGACGATGGCGAAGTGTGAGCTGGCGGCTGCGTCAGCACCTACTTTACATGTGACCACTGGGGGAAGGATCACTTCAGTATTAAATGCGAAGTGATCGGATGTATGACGGTGCTGACGTGGTCTGATGAGTCATGAAGACTATCGGGGCTAGAGATATAATGACGCCTGCCAAACATTAAATGCGACGCTAATACGTTGTCAGCGGGAGAGGCTCGATGCAAAAGTTGTCCTTTAGCTTCGCCGTGAAGTAACGCCTTTCAAGTCGACCTAGGGGGGATCAAGTCAGCTAGTCGACTGGACTCGCTGCTAGTCGACTGGACTCGCTGTGAGTCGTCTTCGACAAAGGGGAAGGGGGTGACAAGTACCGCCTTTCGAGTCAACATGAGCGAATGTCGACTCGACAAGTCGACTGAGTTGTCGTCCCTGCTGGTCTCTGGTCGCCAACTTGATTGGGGCATTGCATGCAGATGTATACCTATCTATTGCTAGCAAATGGTCGCACTTAGGTGATTGGAAACACCATAACAGTTGGCCCCTTTGCTTGGAGGTGGCTTTAGCCGGGTCCGAGTAAAATGAGAATTGCTTTGGACTGACGTGGGTACTTTAAATGCGAGAACTGAAAACTTCCTTTGAATTGACGTGGCTGACGTCACTACATGTTCTTTTGACTGTTGCAGATACGCTTTTCCTGGCAGATTACAGGCTACTCGAGGTGAGCAGGCTGCGTCTCGATCCGTGAGATGGTGTTCCCAATCACCATATCAGCTCTCGCATTTAAAGCACTCGCGTCTGTCTAAAGCAATTCTTATTTCACTCGGACCTAGTTAAAGCCGACTCCAAGCGAAAAGAGCTAACTGTTATGGTGTTCCCAATCACCTAAGTACGACCATTTGTTAGCAACGGATAGGTGTACATCTGCATGCAATGGTCCAATCAAGTTGGCGTCCAGAGACCAGCAGGGACGACAACTCAGCCGACTTGTCGAGTCGACATTCGCTCATGTCGACTAGAAAGGCGTACTTGTCGCCCCCCTTTGTTTTGAAGACGACTCACATCGAGTCCAGTCGACTAGCTGACTCCCCCCCCCCGCGAAGATCGACTCGAAGGCGTTACTTTATGGCGAAGCTAAAGAGCAAACTTTGCATCGAGCCTCTCCACTGACAACGTGTCAGCGTCGTCTATTAATGTTTGGCAGATGTCATCATGCCCTCTAGCCCGATAGTCTTTTATGACTCATCGGACCACGTCAGCACCGTCATACCCTCCGATCACTTTCAATTTAATGCTGAAGTGATCCTTCCCCTAGTGGCTAGCAACACTTGTAAAGTAGGTGCTAACGCAGCCGCCAACTCACACTTCGCCACCGCCGTCCTGTGCTCGGCCGAAGTGATTAATCTGCCCCTTCGGCACCACTAGTGTTAGGTACTATTCCCTCATTCGAGGAGGCTGATAGGAGGATGGATTCGATTTTGGTTTTTTCTGCAAAATCAATATTTTTACGAACCATATCACACACGCAAGAACTCATAGTTCTTTTTCCCCACTCAAGTTCACCAGCTGACTTGATCGTCGGAGGAACCACAGGGACCCAAGCCTCGTCCTCTTACGAGTTTCTACTTGTGCAGATTTTTCAGCCACTCAACTCAAGAACCAGATATAAAGTCGGGGAAGAAAACGGCCCCTCATCAATACTCAACAACCCCATCCAACCACGGATATAACTGACTGTCTTATCACTTAACATCAACAGATAGGTTAACAGAAAACAACAAATTTAAATGAGGGACTTTTTTCTTTAGCGGTTTTTCTATAAAGTGCCCATGGGCAGTTGGGCACTTTATAAGAGAGGAGGGAGAGAGAGAAATGAATAGCTCATAGCCCCCCCTGATTTGCATTAATTTCTGTGCATAATTCATTTCTCTCTCTCCTCTCTTATAGAGTGTCCATGAGCACTCTATAGAAAAACCGTTTCTTTAGATCTTAAAATTTGACAGAAAACAGAGCAATTCAGAAACAGGAGTAAATGAGCAAGAGCTTGGACTTCTTTCCTATTTTGCGTTGGAAATTTACCCTGTTACCATGTAATTAAACGTCCTTGTCTGCTGAATTTGACCAGGATTAATTGATAGAAGATGCTATGCGAAAGTGAAAACGCGGCCGCTTTGGTACTATGCGACGGCCTCGGAGATCATTAATGTAGAGTACACGCAGCACACAACATTGAATAATTCACAATTCCCCATGCAATGCTACGTGTGGTAGATTACGAGGATATTGTGGGGTCCAACAGGAGAAGTTTTGGAATCTGTGAATATTTTAGCTGGCATAGTTTCAAACTTACTACAAGGTTCAGAAATAATCATGCTAGGATACACTACATAATATATGATAGGGTTTTTCTATATAGTGCCAAAGGAACTCTATAAGAGAGGAGAGAGATATAGAGAGGTGAATAGTGGGAACTAAAATAAATGCAAACAGTGGGCCCTTCTACTATTCACATCTCTCTATCTCTCTCCTATCTTATAGAGTGCTATTGGGCACTTTATAGAAAAACCCTATATGATAAATCTTGAATGTAACTCTCTCTTATTTATCATTTAAGAGTGATTTACATAGACATTGATCATTAGGTAATTATGTACACCATTAGATTAAAGCACTTTAGTAGGAATTATAAACTCAAGTGCACATCAAAGGGTGCCTCACCAAAACATACAACCACTGTGCAAAGTCCCAACAAGCTCAACCAAAGTGCAAATACGTCCAACATAAAAAACAACAAATCCAATAAAAATCAGACCCTTTTTTTTATTTTTTTGCAAATGGAGCAATCCAACCTCCCTCTTTCCTGAGCTCCCTCCTCGTTTTGCCATTCAAACTCTCGACCGCAACCTCCCTCCCTCTCTGTACCATTGGCCGAGACTCTTTTGCTCGCATTGAATGCATCTTCTTAACTCATCACACGTTTCAAAATTGAAGCTTGCCCATGCAATCCATATAGAAACTCAAAGAAGCAGCCTCCAAACGTCCGAGCTTCAACATGAATCCCTTCTCCAAGTCCAATTTCCCTCTCTTGCTCGTGTTCGTTTCGTATCTACTGTTCTCTTCCGGCTCCTGTGAGTACTTGATCTCAGGGTCTGATGACACTCTAGATGTGCTGCTGTCGGTGAAAATATCGATCGACGAAGACCCGTTACTTGTTCTTGATGATTGGTCAATTGTGGATTCTGATTACTGCAATTGGACTGGAGTCACCTGCGATTCTGCCAGTTCAATCATCAGCCTGAACCTGTCAGGTTCATCTCTGGCAGGTTCAATCTCTCCTGCGCTAGGCAAGCTGAGTTCTCTGGTAACTCTTGATCTCTCTGATAACAAGTTGACAGGTAAAATCCCATCTCAGTTATCAAACATGTCTTCGCTTGAGATTCTACTGTTGTATTCGAACAGTCTCTCGGGCACAATTCCTTCGAGTTTAGGCTCTTTGTTGAATCTCAAAGTTATTCGCATTGGAGATAATGCTGAGTTGACAGGAGTAATTCCTGATTCATTTGGTGATCTTTCGAACCTGACAGTTCTTGGGCTTGCTTCTTGTAACCTGAGTGGTTCAATACCAAGCCGATTGGGCGACTTGGGCAAGCTTCAGAACTTAATTTTGCAGCAGAATCGACTCGAGGGTTTGATTCCGAAAGAGATAGGGAAGTGTAAAGACTTGGAGGTGCTCGCTTTGGCTGAGAACGAACTTACTGGGAGTTTGCCAATTGAGCTTGGTCATTTGAGCAGTCTTCAAATTTTGAACCTTGCTACTAACTCAATTGGAGGAGAGATACCAACCCAAATTGGTGAATTGAGTCAGCTTGTGTACCTCAACTTGCTCGGAAACAAAATTGAAGGCAAAATTCCAGCTTCAATTGGGGAATTGGGTAGTCTCCAAACACTTGATTTGTCAGCGAATATGCTTGAAGGCGAGATTCCGAAAGAATTACAGCAGTTGGAGGATTTGGTTTTTCTAGTTCTCTCAGACAACAGACTTTCAGGTTTTTTGCCTGAAAATGTCTGTCAGAATTCACCTAGCTTGGAGCATTTGCTATTGTCAACCAACAATTTCACTGGGAAAATACCTGTCAGTTTGATCGAATGCATGTCAGTGAAACAGTTGGATTTGTCTAACAACAGCCTAACTGGGTTCATTCCTCCTGAAATCGGCCAGCTCTACAATCTCACTGATCTTTTGCTCAATAACAATAGCCTCTCTGGTTCAATCCCTCCCAGTTTTGGTAACCTGTCAAATCTTCAGACATTGGCATTGTATCATAATGAACTGACAGGTGAAGTTCCTGAAGAAATTTTCCAGTTGCAGGACTTGCAGATTCTCTACTTGTACGAGAATCAACTGTCAGGTGAAATTCCATTAGGTATTGGTAACTGTTCGAGCTTGCAGATGATTGATTTCTTCGGTAATCAATTCAGTGGTACCATTCCCATAACCATTGGTCGGTTGAAGCAACTGAATTTTCTGCATCTCAGGCAAAATAGTCTCTCAGGTGAAATTCCAGCAACTTTGGGAAATTGCAGGCAGCTTAAAATTCTTGATTTGGCTGATAATCAGTTGACTGGCAAAATTCCAGTGACATTTGGGTACTTAGAATCTCTTCAACAGTTCATGCTCTATAACAATTCACTTGAAGGCAGCATACCAGATGAGATGTTTGATTGTAAGAACATTACGAGGGTGAATTTATCCAACAACAGACTCAATGGAAGCTTTCTTCCTCTTTGCGGTTCGAGTTCTCTACTCTCTTTCGATCTCACTAACAATTCATTCAATCTTGAGATCCCTGCACAGTTGGGAAATTCTGCATCTCTTGAAAGAATTCGATTAGGGAGCAACAAATTAACTGGTGAAATTCCTCTGATGCTTGGAGATATTGAAGCTTTATCGCTTCTTGATCTCTCGAACAACTTGCTCTCCGGCGAAATACCGAAAGAGTTGGCTTCTTGTAAAGAATTGAGACATATTGACCTCAATGGTAATCAGTTCACTGGATTAGTTCCTGAATGGCTTGGGAGCTTGCCTAATTTGGGAGAGCTCAAGCTTTCTTCTAATAAGTTTTCAGGTTTTCTTCCTATTGAACTCTTCAACTCTTTCAAGCTTCTAAGGCTTTCTCTTGATAACAATCTATTGAATGGTTCACTTCCATCTCAAATCTCCAATCTGACTTCGTTGAACGTACTTAATCTCTCTCGCAACAAATTCACCGGGCCTATTCCCTCTTCAATAGGAAAGTTATCCAAACTCTACGATCTTGATCTCTCTGGCAATTTCTTCACTGATAATATCCCATTCGAGATTGGCCAATTACAGAATCTACAAACAACATTAGACCTGAGCTTCAACAATCTCACTGGAGAAATTCCGACATCTCTCTTCTTGCTAACGAAACTTGAAGATCTCAACCTCTCTCACAACTCACTGACCGGAGAAATCCCTCATCAGATTGCTGAAATGAGTAGCTTAGTGAAGCTAGACCTTTCTTTCAATAAACTTGAAGGCAGATTAGACGCCAAATTCTCTCACTGGCCTCCTCAATCTTTCACTGACAACCGTGATCTCTGTGGTATCCCTCTTCAACAATGCATGAGCCCTGTATCAAAGAATCGCCGCTCCAATCTAAACTCTGCATCGATAGGAGTCCTCTCTGCCTCTCTCACCCTCACTTTTGTTCTTCTCCTCATTGCTCTTGCAATCTTTTTGAGAAGGCGGCGGTTACTCAAACCAAGTGAAATAAATTGTGTTTATTCTTCAACCTCTTCGCAAGCTTATAGGGAGTTGATCATCAAAGGTTCAGTGAGACGAGATTTCAAGTGGGACACAATCATGGAAGCTACAAAGAACCTCAGCAATGAGTTTGTCATTGGTTCAGGAGGTTCTGGTACTGTATATCGAGCTGAACTTCCAACTGGCGAAATTATCGCGGTCAAAAAGATTGTTCAGAAAGAGAACGATCTTTTCCTAACCGATAAAAGCTTCGGGAGGGAACTTCGAACACTGGGCAGAATCAGACACCGGCATCTCGTGAAGCTATTGGGATTTTTGAGTAGTACTAACGGGTCGAACATGATTGTGTATGAGTACATGGAGAATGGTAGCTTGTGGGATTGGTTGCATAGGCCAAATGTGAGCCAGAAGAAGAAAAGGGAGCTCAGCTGGGAGTGCAGGTTGAGAGTGGCTGTAGGCCTTGCAAAGGGAGTTGAGTATTTGCACCATGATTGTGTTCCAAGGATTGTTCATAGAGATATCAAATCCAGCAATGTCCTGTTGGATGGTGATATGGAAGCTCATTTGGGTGATTTCGGGCTGGCGAAGCTCGCGGTGGAGAGCCAGAGGGTGAACTCCAGAGGATACACTGAGTCTGAGTCTTTGTTTGCGGGTTCTTTCGGCTACATTGCACCTGGTATGTGTGCATCTGCATCATATAATATCATTAATATTAAACTTGTTTAATACTACTAAACTTTGTTTTTTTCGCAGAATACGCATACTCTCTAAGAGCAACAGAGAAGAGCGATGTATACAGTATGGGGATAGTACTGATGGAGCTAGTGACCGGACTAATGCCGACTTCTAATGCGTTTGGGGATATGGACATGGCTCGATGGGTTGAATCAAGAATTGAATCACAGGATGAAGACTTGCTGGATTCATCGCTGAAGCCTGTGGCAGCCCGCGAGAGAATACGCATACTCTCTAAGAGCAACAGAGAAGAGCGATGTATACAGTATGGGGATAGTACTGATGGAGCTAGTGACCGGACTAATGCCGACTTCTAATGCGTTTGGGGATATGGACATGGCTCGATGGGTTGAATCAAGAATTGAATCACAGGATGAAGACTTGCTGGATTCATCGCTGAAGCCTGTGGCAGCCCGCGAGCAGTCGTCGATGTTCGAAGTTCTTGATTTGGGTCTGGAGTGCACGAGGACTGCCGCTGCTGAGAGGCCCAGCTCGAGGAAGGTGTCAGAGGTTTTGGTTCAGATTTGTTCGAGGGTTCGTCGTGCTGGCCATGGAAAGAATATTATTGTCTGAGAGTTTGCTGAAAGTATTGGGCTGTTGGGTAGTTTATTTCAATTATATATCATAATGTTTGTAGATATCAAGTAAGAGTTTGGGTGACTTGCACAGACCCCAAACCATTGCTTTGAACTGCAACCCCCCTCAGGGCAGCAGATAGACCACTTGGGTTAAATTCTCTCAGCTCCTTTAAAACTTAGTGAAATTTGGAAGATATAGCTCCCCAGCTGAAATCAGCGTCTATGAGAGTAAAAGATCCACGCACGGACAAATTTAAAAATAAAAAAAAACTGCGTGCAATTAACTCTGAACCCTTGTGTTCACAATCAACATAATTGAGACATCACAATAACTGAACAATCCTCCTCTCTACAAATTAACATCACGTAACGCAAACTATTTTAGGAAATTCTAAATGTAACAGTATGATGACTCCTGTGCACAGTCATCACCACTAAACTATATTATCAATAAGGAACACATCTATGGCAGAGGAAAAACAGACCAAACATTTCATCAATTATCAGTTCACTTTTTTGTTTATATATATGCTTTAATCAACAAAGAAAACATAACACAAAAGAAAATCTCTATTACACTTCTCTGAAAAGAAAAGGGAAAATGACTACAATAAGAAGGCTTACACAGTTTATTTCCACTCAAGGGTGTACTCCCATTCACAATTCATGGAAGAAACACCCATATTTTGATTTTTTTTTTTCTGCAATGAAGAATGATACAATATACATCGGTATAGAGCTCTATACTGCCACCAGTATTAGTTAAACGAACAAAAAAAAATTACAAACCTGAACAAAACACTGCTTTCCCTTGTCACAGGAGTTTGCTGGTTCGACGCTTTGATGGACCTCCAGGGAAGAGCTTCATTATCCAACCCAACACTCTCTCAACCACCTATGGGAGGTAAAAATAGACCAAAGCTTAGTAGAAGTATTTGATCTGAAAGGGTCTAATGTAATATATACAGAAGCTATTGACTGGAGGTAGATTTGGAATATTGTTTAATGTGTACATTCACATAACAAGCTGATCCAGTTTTACAAATGGCAGTTTGAACAACCAAAATGGTTAAAGATTGTATCAGCCCTCAACCCTCAACACAACTTAGCGGCATGGTCCTTCGATATGGTATTAGAGCAAACCCAGTTTCAATTTTAGTCATGTACTTAATGTGTATTTTTAAGAAAAAAGTACCGATGTGTAAGTCCATGTTTCAGCCCATAGAAAGGACCATCAACAGATGGGGGCATATTAGAATATATAATCATAAACCTCAAGCCTGACCGCAACTTCGGAGTTTTGGTGAAGTGGTTGGGTCCTTTCATAGGTTGGATCACAAACAGATGCAAAACTCACACCAACTTAGTAGTCTACTTCCAGCTTCTTACAGAGGGGTATATATTTACTAGAAAAGCTGTCTAAGTCCAAAAGTCTTCCTTCGGCAGAGATGCAGAATTTTAAGCAGCAGAAATTCTTAAATAAACAAGTCAACAAGAAAAGCTAGAATGGGCCTTTAGACATCTGAGAAAATATATTTCCTTACAAAATTATGGTCTATAGCATTTCAATACCATACCTCATCTCCCTCATCAGCATATACTGTTGCATCTTGCAAGCTGTGGGTGTCTGCCTGTCTTGCCATGACATTTTCATTAGCCATACGCTGGGCAGTCAAAAGCTCTAATCTTTGTGTTTGTGCTTCCAGTTTTTGTGAGAGGTCCTTATTAAAATCCTTCAATAAAAAAAGGGAAATATAAGCTGCAGAGAAAAATTGCATGGAAATATAAATAATGCACATAGGAATCCTTTGACACAATAAGGATGAGAATATGAGTAAAGATCACATTCTGCTAGTAAGAATTCATCAGTTTGCATTGACTATAAACTAGCTGTATTACATAAATTTTAAGTAGGAAAAAATGAGGACTTCAATGGAAGAAATATGATGATATGAAACCTTATGTAACGTAGAACATAGATAAATAATGGTTTTAGAATAAGGACAGTAAACCAGGATTCAAAACACAAGAATTTTTCTGTCATGGATTCAAAATATATCAACCATATGATAGTTGTATAATGTATGAAATTTCCGCACCAGCTTGTATTAAATGATAAGTTAAATACCTTCAGCTTCTTACAATTTGATGATTCGATTTTCAGAGCTCCAACTAGCTCATCTTTCTCCAAAGTCAACTGTCAGTTCCAAATTAATTTTGTTATGCCAATGTTCAAGAGATTACAAAAAGTAGAAGTATTACGTAAAGCACGACATGTTTCTAAGTTGACATAATGACAATATGAAAAAATAGGCATTACTACCTCAGATATCAAAGAATTGATATTTTTAATCATTCTGAGTTGATCATGTGGAATATAACCGGAAGCATCTGGAAGAACAAATGCCAAATCTTCATGCACCAGAGAGGAAGTAGAAGCATCCATTGGACCCATCACAGTATCTTGTGCTTGATTTACAATATTGTGTAGCATCCTTTCTGCAGTTCTTGTCTCACCACCAACCACATCGAAAGGCTCAGTACCTGAAGGAGAAATGTAGATGGCATATAATGTAAGTCTTTTAAAGTTGTAAAAGAAACAAGATGACACACACTGAAATTATCCCGATAGAACCAGCTGTTAGCATTTATTTAGTTGCTTAATAATACTGAACAATCCAGTTAGAACAAACAGTTGGAATCAATATAGTTCCTGGATGACATTGTCTAACCTATGAGAATTAATCTAGTTACTGAAGAAGACTGTGCACGCATAGGGACATGCTTATAATCGAGACCTTAAGTTTGTGTGATATGTGTTATTCGTCCAAAACCATTTGGTTAAGGTGAGTATGTGATATGGTTCTAAAGCACCAGGTCCTCGGCTCAAACGCCATTTACAGTTCAAAGTATTTCCTCTCCTTTATTCACCCTTTTCAAGCAAGTTAACTCTTATCTGAAGCCTTTCTACATGGCAAGTAAACCATTTAGTAAAGGCCTGCGTTAGGGGTAGTTTTAAAAGATTTTCTACTTGTGTGATATACATTGTCATCATAACCCAATAGCTTAACCTTTTGGTTTAAGGGATTATCATACAAAGTCAGTGAAAGAACATACAGCAATCAAAGAAACCAGATGTGAGAAAATTTTGAACAAAGTAGCACAGCAAAACATTGTACAGTAATTCAATTTCATTTGATAATTGAGATAGGTGTTACCCAATAGCTTAACCTTTTGGTTTAAGGGGTTATCATACAAAGTCAGTGAAAGAACATACAGCAATCAAAGAAACCAGATGTGAGAAAAATTTGAACAAAGTAGCACAACAAAACATTGTACAGTAATTCAATTTCATTTGATAATTGAGATAGGTGTTACCCTTATACTTGGAAGTAAGAAAATCTCTTTCCTCAATATCAAAATAATGGGTCTACCTTCCTTTTTTTTATCATCTAAACTAGCTGCTTAACAACCAAAAAATTTTCAAGTGAAGACTTCTATTAATAGTGAGAAAGAGGAAAATAATGAAGTAAAGCTCGCCAATATTTATTTACATAGGGTACATATATGATCTGTAAAAATCAGCATTTTATATTTTGCAGTTCTCTGGAGACTGGAAACTATTACGCCTTCAAATTGTCAAATAGTCCATGTCCAAGACTAATTACTAAATAGCTAGTACTTTTTTCTTTCATCATCAATACCTAACTCAATTATATACTACTTTTCTCTCAGTTATGAACAACCATCTTAAAATATATTATCATGTGATGAATGCAAATCATAAGAGATACTTGACTCATACCTAAATCGTCTGTTGAGGTAGAAACATCTCTTCCAGTAGAGGTCTTCTCAGCATCCACTTTCTCATTTGCAGGGACTTTCCGCAGCTTGATCTGCAATAGTTTCTTTTCTGCATAGAAAAAATATATAATATCAATTAACTAACAGGAGAGTCCATCGTGACATGTAAGGTAACAGCCTTCTCCCACCACGTCCGACACAAGCAACAAATGCCTGGATATGCAGGTGATGCTTCGTTAAGATGAACAATTACCTAGGGATGAGGAAAATTATAAAAAAGTATTAACTATGTAGTTAAAGCTTCTATGTCCAGAATAGAAAATATCTGATAACTTGCAACCAAGGAGAAGGTCTTCCATAAGGAATATGCAGCAGAAAAAAGATAACATATGAGATTTGAAACAATATATGCAAAGAGATTACCACCTTCTTGCAACGCATCAATTGTGAATTGGAAATCCTGGCGCTCTTTCTCTAGAATGGACACTTTACGCCTGTAGAAATGCAAGAAGAGAGGAGAAAAGACTAGTTATAACCCTTTACAAAGCTTTCAGAAATTGTAACTGTAGCTATTTGGTATATTTCAAATAATAGGCACCGCTTTTGCAACCTTACATATTAACTTAATGTTAAAAATCAATTCCAAGTTCTGGGATATCATATTATGATACTGGTTTTCTAATACCTTTAAACATACAAAGTGCAAACTGCAAATTGAGAGTTAAAAACTTGAATATTTGGACAATAAATCATAACAAAATTATTCACAAACAAGTATAATATAATATTTAATATCGAGAAGGCAGTGACTGCTCCAAAGAGGTTCCTCTTAACAATTACATTAATTTCCAAAAATGGGATGTGCAAAAAAAAGCCAACATAAATTCTTAACTCCTAGAATTTCTTAATAGTAAAGTTCAAATTCTTCAACTTGTATGTCAGCCAAGCTCAACAATTTAAAAGTTGGATATAAATAAATTAGAACAAAAATAAAATATTAGACATACTTGTATGATGTGATCTCAGAATTCAAGTTCTCCATTTGCTTTTCAAGCTTTAACTCATTTGACCTTAATCTGAGTGCCTATACAGAAGTCCATGAATGAATTAGATCGGCAACCACTAGCGAAAAATATAGTGTAAATTGATTAACTAAATAATACAGAAAGAATGCAGAAAGCAACAATAAAATCCAAATTCTAGCGATAGCAAAACTTAAACAAAAACAGAAATTATCCTCTCTAGTTTTCTCTTATTGTAAAAAGTGTCGAGTCATGAGTGGTAGAACAAGTTTTTCTCAAGAGAACATTAAATACAGAGAATTACAAAGAAAAAGAAACTACCTTCTCTTCCAAGCCAATAACTTCAGAAGTAAGTATTTTTGCTCTTTCATCTGCAGCATTACATTCCATTTGTGCATGCACATATTCCGATCTTATAGATTCAATAGCCAACTGTGGAACACAACAGTATAAAAAAATGACGTAAGAAACTTTTGCCTCTCGAGGCATTGCATATGTAACACAGAGATACATCTTGATATAATATGATACAATTACATTTACATCGATAAATGCACTTCATGTCTGTGGATAAGAATGATTAGATTGAAACTAAACCATTGAAATGCCTAAAACAAACTTCATGATAGGGCATATTTAGGTCTCTCACAATTTAATTTTCATTGCTTATCCTTATGGGCTAAAAGAGTTAATTAGTCTGTGCACAACAGTTAGCATACATTTCCTCTCAAAAAATATGTGAATCCAATCTCACACGCTATACCTTGCTTTCTCAGTAATAAAATTACTTTGAACATCAACCCTTCTGTTAATATTAACTTTGTTTTTATTAGCTAATGAACAGTCAACCACCAAACTGATTTTTTACGTTCTTGATTCAAGGATCTCTAATTGTAAATTAGGAATCTAGGATGTAATGTCATCTTTCCAAATTCGGTGTGCTTTCTATTTAACAGCATATTAATCAACAAGAGGCATTCCTTCTGTTTAGAGCCAATGAAAATATTAATTGGTTGGCCATCTATGAGCACTTTGTCATTCAACAAGTTGGATGGTCTCGAGAAGAAGTCCATTCTCAGAGAAGCAAATTTATGTTGGGATTTTTGATGTTAATGTTCTGTGGAGAATCCTTGCTGCAGATAAAAGTAGACAAACTTGTTCTCAGAAGTAGCGTGGATCCTGCTTACGTGAGTTCAGATCAAAATCCAACTCGTGCTGGTCTGGCAAGACCTATAAAACACTTTTTCAACTAGAAGAGGCAAGAAGCTCCCCAAGTCTAATGGGAATTCAAATAAAATCTCCACAGTAATGCTTAGAACACAGCACCGTCCAGGTTAACAATTCGCTAAAGCAGACTCTTATTCATTGATATTTTAAAAAAGGGAGATATCAGATGCCCATCTCTCAACAAGGAAGTTAACTAATTTCAGAAGAAAAGACACATGGATGAAAAAGTCATCCACTAGATCATGTTAGATTTAAAACACCCCAGTTCTGTGTGATATATCATATGGCAGGTTTCATTACAAATTTCCTATAAGCAGATACTTGAAAATGTTGCAGTCAGTGAAAAGGATACTAACATCAGAAAGGGTAAAGAACTGACCAGCTGGGCCTTGATTTCTTCCTGCAACCTTCCCATGTCAGATTTTAATTGGCTGACAATTTGTCCCTGAGACAGAAAGTAATAGTTGGATTAAATTGACAAAATAGCTATACAAACTCCATACTGGAATTAGCCTTCAATGAAGGCAACACCATCAATTCATGCAATGCTGCAAACATATCAAAATTAACACCAGCTTGATAGTGCAGCTGTAGGCCTTATTGCTTTATACAATATTAACTTTTAATGTGTACCTTATATGTGCAAACAATTTTATGGTTTAACTAGCTTAATTAGAGTGATACTATATTGAAGGTTTATAATGCTTACAAAACAGTCCACCATATGATATAAGACGATATCCGAAATAAAGTTCAACTCTAGATAGCCAAAACACCTATATAAATGGTACACTTCAAGTGAACGAGCATAGAAGTACTTGTGGTAAACATTGCAAATACTATGAAAATTGATAGATCATCGGGCGAACAACTAAATAAATATCCATGTCCTTGGGCTAAGAGTCCAAAGAAGCACAAATACGAATTCAAATAGAGGATTTTTTTTTTACTGTCAAAGAATTCTAAAGTTAGGGACTCAGTTCCATGCCTGGTAAGTGATCAGAGAACAAACCTGCTGGTTATAGCTCTCAGTCAAAGATGAATTTTCAGCAGCTAAGGACTCTGCTAACGTTCTTGATGTCTCCAGAGCTCTTTGCAGTGAGAATTTTTCTTGGGTCAAATCTTCAATGTGCTGCACAAAAAGAAGACTCATGATCTAACATAATGGACCCTATGACATGCCATATGGGGAGTCAAAGATGACTAATCACATAACCATGCTATTTGCAATTTGCAAATTATGGGGGGGGAATAAACAGTAACACCATTACAAACAAAAGATCAACTTATCAAAGCTAAGATCTAGATATTACTCACACCACAAGTCCCAAATGACCACATTGTCTCCGACAAAAGATAGCTAAATATGCATAGTAAGACTCTGATTCTTCAAAAAAAAAAATGTAGACGGTTGGCTTAGGTTCATCCTAGGCTCCTAGCTAAAGGGGCAGTCAACACCAGCCAGCAGACATAGAAATCACGAAATTCATCTCAATTTTAATTTCAAAATAAGGATACCGTAAATAAACTTACATAAGAAGCAAAGAAATCTGAAGAAACAATCAGCATGTCTGATCCTTACGCCAAGTACATACACTACAAGGTGCAATTTATAATGCAACAATGCAGGCCCCAAATTCTAAGACGACTAGAACACATGCATATGTAATCAACATGACAAGAAAAAAGCTGATTCTCATGCAAAGCTACATAAATTTACAGTCACATTCTATAATACAAATGTTTAGATAGGTTATAAATAATTTAATTCCAAACATTACTAGAACAATTATCTAAGAAAAAAACAACCGAAATAAAGAAGCGTCTGCAACAATAATTCTAATTAATGTAATCAAAACTCATTCTTCCAGAAATAACTAATTTTATTACATCTTTCTTGCAAGAAAATGTTTCTAAGTGAAAAGTGAACATAAAAATACTAATAGTAACTAATACAAGAGATTACAGGCTCCTATGAAATAAATTAAATAGAATTCATTTGTTGCTTTATAGTGAAAACAATTTGCAACTAATTACTGAGTTGCATATAACTGAAACTATTCATCCAATAGCGTTAAATCTACTTACTTTTTGGGGTCTGCCTTCTGAGAGTGCAAAATAAGAGTAGCTACTTCGAGAGGTTTGCAACTTCAGCTATCGACTGATGTGTGCATAAATCCTTGCAACTTGATTTCATCTTATCTTCTACATTTAATTGTTCAGAAGATTATAAAGTAAATTGTTGGTAGCTATGTTAACTTGATACTTCTATTAGGAAGCCGTACCCATACTACCCAAACCTCTTGGACACTTCTTGGATATATGCATATGTCTATTCAGGCGTATACTCAATTTCGGGCGTGTACTCAATTATATAACACATGTTTTAATTTAAAACACTTCTCATACACTTCTTGGAAGCATATTCTACACTTCCACTTCACATCTATTTCTTATATATCGATCTCATGTAAATGGAAAAACAATATTGATCTTGTGTAAATTATTATTTTAATACATATAAATATACATAACATGCATATATAAAGCCGTGTCCCTGTACCCTACCTTTTACAATTTTGTCGTGTCCCCTACCCGTACCCATACCCGTACAACCTAGGTTGGTAGTAAGTAGATCAAATCAATCGATGCAATTACCATGGGAATCAAACGATTGGTCATGATCTAGTGGCAATTGGTGTAAAACCCAATCGGGGAGGAAAAATCAACATAACAACATAACTGCATACTAAAAAGACTTGTCTACAACATATGGACATCTTTTCAAGAGTAACATCCCTCAATGCTTGATCTGATTTGTTTTAGTTCTCTGGTGGCTTGGTTTGTCAAAGAAACTTCATGTTCGATCTGCAACATGTGGTATTGGTCTGTGCGTGTTCCAACACTAATTTGATATTGTAATATGCACGGAAAATAAATTTTAAACAATTGTTATAAGGTACTTTGTTTCATTGTGCAAAAAGAACAGAAAAGACTGTACAAAAATCCATGCGTTAGCTTGCAAATTGTTGTAGGCACATAAGAACAAAAATGTGAATTATAAAGCATTCACCTGTTCAAGGGCTGCAAAATCTTCATCCTTCTTTGAAGTGAACTCATGATCCCTCTGTGCATGATCATCTCCAGCAGGGTTTAGCAGTTTCCCATCATGTGAAGAGACAAAAGTGTTCATAGATACTTCCATATCACTTTTAGAATCAGGCGTAAATGATTCTAAAGAGTGGTCTACAGTGTTAAACTCTGCAAATGGCCGTGCAGGAGAAGATAATGGGGCATCCGTACTTTGAGAATTTGAAATGTCAAAAGATCCATGAATATTAGCTTTCTCAGGCTCTCTATATGGAACATAAGCCATTGAAGAACCCCTGGAAGCACCCAGAGAATCAAGAAAAGATGGACGAGAACGATTTGAATTGGTTCCAAAACTAGATGAAGTAAAAGGAGCTTCATATTGTGTGCTTTTATAAGCAAAACTAGAATCTCCATATGAAGGTTCTGATGCATGCCACCGTGCACTGTCAACGTTAAGGTTGTAATCAGTGGAGTCAGCCAGTTTCCCTCCTCCTCTACCAATATCATTGACATTGTTTCTGCACAGGCTTCCAGTATAGGGGAGCTCCATCTCAGCAGATTTTTCTGTTTATCATGGTTCTAAACATCGTAACAGGCCTTAAAAGTAAACACAAGAACACAAAGCAAGAGGTGATCAATTTGTAAAACTCCAGATACACTTTACCTTTATGTAAACCCAATGAGCTAGTTGAAGTGCTGGGAAACCCGGATAAATTTTGCCCATCAACCATCTCATCATAAGAGTTTGAGGAACTTGGAAAAGATGTCCCGAAATTGCTCGTGGGAGCTTTTGAGGCATATCTGTCTTCACCAGGTGGAGCTCCAAAGAATGAATGAGAACTCAAACTACTAACATTCATGTCAAGATTTGGATTTGCCTTGACTGGATTAAAAGTGACAAATTGATCTGTATTACCACTATACTGTTCGATTATTGTATCCTTTTTATGACCAAGCTCCCTGCTTTCTTGCCACTGATCATAATAACCATTAACTAGTTGAGGGAAGTCTGCCTTTTCATATAAATTAGGTACTTCATTCCCAGCATATTGTACTGATCCACCATAAGATGCCTGACTACTATCAACCAGGACAGGAGAGCTACCGTGCATCCGATTTGAGGAGTGAACCTCAGTGCTCTGGGAAAGATTAACAGCTTTATTTCCACCAGGTATACCCGACCCGTTGGAATCGGTATCGCTAGCAGATTTAGCCCCATCTTTCACAAGGTCGTGTTTTTGAGAGACAATTTCATGTTGGTCTACATCAGATACTATCAATTGGCCTGTAGATGCGGCTTTTTTGGCTCGTCCTACTGCCTTTTTCCTACGGAACTCCTCCAACTGAGGCAAAGATAATCAAATACCTTAGACCTTTTCTATGTCCATCGCTAGAAATAAAAGCTATCTATAAGCTGGTATTAGAATTCTGTACAAGAATGAGTTATATATTCAAATTCACAGCAGAAACTCAACGCAACTCCGAAAAAAAAAAGACCCTCATAACAGAACATAGATTTGTGAACAAAAAAAATGGCAATATGATTCCGAAAAGTGTTTACTTGGAACAAGACAAATAAATTTCATCAAGATTATACATATGATTCCATCTGCTCTCTACCGCTGCTCTCCTTTCTCTGTGGCCGAGACTAAAAAAATTGGCCGCTTCCGCCAAACAAGTGGTTCCGACAAGTTTTCAAGTGATGCTGCTGCTAATGAAGTTGTTGGGAATGGGAAATGAGATAATAATTAATTAGTGATAGCCTGGTTAATGATCGTAACGCATCATTCGACATTAAAATGTTAACATAAACCTCAAACAAAAGCTGAACTTGGCGACTTCGCATTCGCATTAAAGCCATATTATTACAGCTCCCCGTTAATCTACTAGTATCCACTAATTTTAGCGAAAATTACACCTGGGAAAAAAAAAGCTAGCCAGGCGAATTTCAAGGCTGAAACACGACGGATCTCGTAAGAGAAAACGAAAATCGGATCCAAGCTCCTACCTTTTTCTTCCCCGCTTCGAGATGCCCTAACTTTTTCGAATTGGGCAGGACCTGCGCTGATGCCATACGTTCCGATTCCCAAATCCTGCCCAATTTCCCTCAAATTCTCAGGCTCCCCCGATTTCAAATCAAAGAGGGAGGAGTAAATTTGAGTGATTCGATTGAAAAGAAGAAAAGAGACGAGAGAATCTCTTCGCAGATCTCCTCCCTCTCTCTAAAATTCCCCCCTCGCTTGTTTTTTGTGATTTCATTCCTTGCCACTTTCTGAGTTCCTCGGTAAGGGAGAGCGTTGGAGAGGAGTCGGGTTTCGGGTTTGTGCCGACCAGCGTTTTGGGTCGGATCCTTATGGGATCCGCTTTGCGCTTTGCTATATATATATTGTGCTTTTGCTTTTAAAAATTGATTGATGGAAAGAAATATAATTGTATTTTCAGTCGTGTTCTATAAATGCTCTATTTTGTATCAGGGAGATAAAACAGCATATTTTTTTGGGAAAAATGTTTCAAGGCCCCAAAACAAAAAAGCGGATGTGGGCAGGCCCCCTGTATTTTTTTTGGTGTGACAAACCCCCCAAAACCAAACTTAATACTTAATCAGCCCTTTTTTCATTTCCAAGACAACTTTAAGAGAAAAGTTGAGGCGTTCAGACCAAAGTACCCTTTTGTACCCGTTCCCCCCTTCCGCCTTCTCTCTCTCTCTCTCTTCTCTCTCTGTATCTTCTTCACCGCAAACCTCCATTAGCTTTCGAACCCATTTTCAAAACCCTAGTTTCACTCAAGCGGCTAGAAAATCTAATTGGAAAATGCCCCAAAGAAATTTAAGTAAAATGGCGAAGAACTGTAAGCGTAGCAAGTCTGAAGTGGCCAACAAACAAACGGAACAGGGCGTTCGTCACCGGCGTCGATCGGCACGATTGGCGCAGCAGGAAATGCCAAAGTTATCCGCCTCCGCCTCTGCCTTGATATCGCCCGCCGGCAATTCTGCTCCGACATCCTCTGAGGATGAGGAGAGTAACGAGGCGACGGAAACCCTATTGAGCATGAAAAGCCCGCTTTCCCCCGTCACTTCGTCATAAATGCGTTGGGAGAGATCACCGAACAAGAGAACCCATTCAGCCGGTTTTCTTTGAGAGAGATGAGGGCATTTTCGGGAGGAAGCAACAAAATACACCCACTTGATGTATACGTATGGGCTTTTGGGTCTGGGCCACAATTTTCACAATTTTTTGGGGCTGAAGGCTAAGGCAGTTAATTGGGGGGGCTGGGCCACATCCGCTTTTTTGTTTTGGGGCCTTGAAACATTTTCCCCTATTTTTTTTCATAAAAAATATGTTATACTTCTCTGAGGCAAAAAATAGGGCAGTTAATACAAGTAGTTCTCTCATATTCTATTCATCATGCTCATTCAGCGAAATATCCAATTCATTTTTCGAGACTGTGTCGTATCTAATTTTTTTTCCATACATGAATCGCATCCCTTTTCTTACATTCCATATATGATTTCTACTTCAATCATATCATACTTTCTTTAAAAACACGAATGAGAAATTTTTCAATGGCCAATATTATCCTTTATTATTTTGAATATTTTATTTATATCTTAATATATCCTAATCATAATTACATCATATCCTAATCTTACGTGAACTATCTATCGCTTAACAATTTAAAACATAATATTAATAAAATATATAAAACATCTTTATGGTATTAGTTTGTTAAGATAAAGAAATTATACGTAACTAACATACTATAATACATGAAGTATTGTAAAAAAATCCTAAAAAGTTTTAAAATTGCATAAAATACCCTGAAAAGTTTAAAATTATAAAAACCATCGTGATGTCTCAAAACTTAAAATAACAAACATGAAATCAAGAAATTAACAACAGTTTGTGAAGAATTTAAAATTTACACTTAGCACCTCAATGTCTCAAAAATTATAGAAACACCCTCAAAAGTTCACAAACAAGCACCCTAAAATTCTAAAATTTCAAAACGTATAAACAATATAGATGAATTTAAGGGATTACCATGATGCACCCAAAAAATTCTGACATTTTAAAATTTAAAACAACAAATGTGAAATTAAGAAATTAACATTTTTAATTAACATCTCAATATCTCAAAATTTATAGAAACACCAACAAAAGCTTAAATTATAAAAAAAATCACCCTAAAATTCTAAAATTTCAAAATTTGCAGACAACAAAAGATGAATTCAAGATATTACCCTTAGACACCTAAAAATTTAAAATTTACCTAAATTAACCTCAAAGTTACAAAATTTGTAAAAAAACTCCTTCAAAATTTAGAAATTGTAAAAAACACTCTAAATTTTCAAAAATTATAACAATTACACATCAAATCTGAAAACTATTGGGAAACCGCTGAAATTTAAAATTTTCCAAAATTAATCTATAGTTTTATAATTGCAAAAAGCACCCACAAATTTTAAGAGTTATATGAAATATTCTGACATTATAAAAATTACCACCAACATATGAAACATAGAAGTTACAACTACCAAACTTAAAAGAATTTTTTTTTTAAAACTCTCCCAAAGTTTTAAAAACTACAAATCACACCCTCAAAGTTCAAAACTATAAAAAAGGCTAAAATTTTAAAACTTGGCAAAGAAAAGTATAATTGTTTAGTATTTTTTCATTAAGATGTGTGTGTGTGTGTGTGTAATTTCCAATTTAGGGTTTACTATCCCTTTTCAGCATCTAAAAATAGTATAAGTTGATTGGTAAACAAAAGCAATAAGAATTGATTAAAAACATCCAACTAAGGAATAAAAATTTAAAAAATATTATAGCTTAAAATTATCGCTACTATATAAATTAAAGTAACTGCATATAATTTTACTAATAGGTTGGAGCAGCAAAAATACATTAGTAATATTAATTGATAAATGTTTAAATCCATAAAAATAATAAAATACTATAATATAATAGCTTAACATTAATTAATTATAATTTCGAAACATTAATTTCTGATATTAATAATATTTATAGGGTAAAAGAATACAAGGAATTACATATAGAAAAACTATCAGAATGTTCAGAGATATAATTCAAAAGAATTAAGTTATTTTCATTGCAAATGAGAAAGTAATGGAAATAAATTTAATATTCAAAAGATATCCATAAATCACTTGAATTAGCATTAACATAAATCATATCTATTAAAGAAGCACCGACTAAGTTGAATTTAACAACTTTATCTCAATCAAAGAATAATTCTCCATGGAAGATATAAAGAAATTAGTAAGTATTCATAAATTTCATACTTTCTTCTTCAAATATTAAAGAAAATCACACAAACAAAATAATATGAAAATTCAAATTAGGTTCAAATTATATTTGTTTTTTGTCAAGCGTGTAAAATGCTAGGGACTGATGTGTAAAAACTCTATTTCCTGTGCATTATAAAAGGTTCCGCTGACATTCTTCGAAAATCCAACTCGACGGAGTAAGATCGTGACGATCCTGAAATCCAAAATTAAAAATAAAGCTGAGATCTTTGAACTCCAAAGGGAGGACAAATCACTTTCATTCAAAGAAAACGTCTCGAAAATGGCGAAAAAAGCTCTGCTGATAGGCTGCAACTACCCGAACACGGAGGCCGAGCTCAGGGGCTGCGTCAACGACGTCCACCGCATGCACCGCTGCCGACGTCTCCGTCCTCATCGACACCGACGACTCCTTCGCCCAGCCGACGGGGGCTAACGTGCGCCGGGCGATCAGGAAGTTGATCGGATCCGCTGAACCCGGGGACTGCCTCTTCATTCATTACAGCGGCCATGGGACGAGGATCCCGGCGGAGACTGGGGATGATGATGATACTGGGTTCGACGAGTGCATCGTGCCCTGCGATATGAATCTCATCACCGGTAAGGGTTTGGTTTTGATTTTGTAAGGAATTGGGTCCAGAGTGGAATTCAATTACAATATCTTTGAATTAACAGATCGCTAAATGAAAAGAATTTAGGATAATTGCCACCACCGGATGCTACATTGTATTTGGGACAGTAGAATTTAATTATTTAAAGTACAGATCCACCAAAGAAAGAATGAAAAATTGAGAGACAAACAACCGCAGAAACACAGGGACTTAACGCTATTCCGTTTTCACATAGAAATATTTGTCCGAGCTCCCAAATTCATAATATATTGTGGACTATAACCCACAAATTTTGTCATTTTCGGCTATACTAATATTCATGCGAGCTCCTAAATTCCCGATTTCTCATGTGGTACAACCCACCCTTCTAGTTGTTTTCGGCCAAATCACGATTTCTTGTGGACTATAACCACAAGTTTGGTCGTTTTAGGCCAAAGCGCTTCTTGTTTTTTCGCATAAATGTACTTGAGCGAGTTTTAAAATTCATGATTTCTCATCAACTATAATCCACAATTTGATCGGCCAGATCATGATTTCTCATTGCTTATAACCCCTAATTTTGGTCATTTTCGACAAAATCACTTCTTGATTTCCTATATAGGAATATTTATGCTAGGTTCCTAATTCACGATTTCTCTTTGACCGTAACCAACAATTTTTGGTTGTTTTTTTGCTAAATCACAAATTTTCGTGGACTATAGTCTACATTTTGATCCATTTTTGGCCAAATCACTTCTTGCTTTCTGGCACATAAATATTTATGTGAGCTCACAAGTTCATGATTTCTCCGGGAGTATAACTTATAATTTTGGTCTTTTTTTGGCCAAACCACTGTTTGTTTTCTCATATTGAAATATTTATCCGAGCTCCGAAATTCACGATTTCTTGTGGACTGTAACGCACAATTTTGGTCCTTTAGTACCAATTTACTTCTTCTTTTCCCTCATAAAAGTATTTATACGGGTTCAAAATTCACGATTTCTCCTGGATTATAACCCACAATTTGCTTCTTGTCGATCAAGTCACGATTTCTAGTGGACCGTGACCCATAACTTTAGGTGTTTTTGATTAAATCACATCTTGCTTTCCCACGTAGGAATATTTATGTGGGCTCCCAAATTTACGATTTCTTGTGGACTACAACCTACAATTTTGTGTCCATTTTTGGCCCAATCAATTCTTATTTATCGCATAAAAATATTTATGTAAGCTCCCAAATTCATAATTTCTCGTGAACTATAACCAACAATTTTGGTTGTTTCCAGCCAAATCAAAATTTCTCATTGACTATAACTAATAGTTTTAGTTGTTTTGAGCCAAATCACTTTTCGCTTTCCTGCATTGAAATATTTTTTGCGGATAGTAACCCACAATTATGGTTCATTTTTTGCCAAATCACTTTTGTTTTAACGCATAGAAATTTCTTTCTGATTCAAATAATTCAAAAAATGTTTCTTCATATCACCATTTTTAAAAATAGATGGTTGATGCAAGTTTCCAAATTCACAATTTCTCATAGACTATTATCCACAATTTTAATCATTTTGGGCAAAATCACTTCTTGCTTTCCCTCATAGAAATATTTATGTGAGTACTCAAATTCACAATTTCTTGTAGACTATAATCCATAATTTTTATTGTTTTCAGCCAAATCACAATTTATATTGGACTAGAACCAACAATTTTGGTCATTTTCGACCAAATCACGATCTCTTGTACACTATAACCTATAAATTTGGTCCATTTTTGCCAACTTACAACTTATTCTCCTCATAGAATTATGGATGCGAGCTCCCAAATTCATGATTTCTTACGGAATTTTAATTATTTTTGGCCAAATCACACTTTTCTACACGAAAATATTTATCTGAACTCCCAAATTCACGTTATCAGTTATCTTGTGGACTATAATCCACAAATATGATTGTTTTTGGCCAAATTACGATTTCTTGCAATTTTGGTTGTTTTTTGCCAAATCATTTCTTGTTTTGCCACATAAATATATTTATGCGAGCTCCCAAATTCATGATATTTTGTGGACTATAACTCACAATTTGATTAGTTTTTGGCCAAAGCACTTCTTGCTTCTCGCGTAGAAATATTTATGTGAGCTCTAAAAGTCACAATTTTTCATGGACTATAACGCACAATTTTGCTTGTTTTTGGCCAAACCATTCTTGTTTTCCCGCATTAACATATTCCTGCGATTTCCAAAATTCACAATTTCTTGTATACTATAATCCACAGTTTTGATCGTGTTCTGCCAAATCTCAATTTTTTTGTGGACTATAGTCTAAAATTTTGGTTGTTTTAGGCCAAATCTTTTCTTGATTTCCCACATAGAAATATTCTGTCGTATTCCAAATTCACGATATCCCGTCGACTATAACCCATACTTTTTGTTATTTTCGGCCAAATCGATTTCTTGTGGAGTATAACCTATAATTTTAGTTATTTTTTGGCCAAATCACTTCTTGTTTTCTTGCATAGAAATACTTACTGAGTTTACAAATTCATGATTTCTCGTTCTCTATAACCTACAATATTGGTCATTTTGGCCAAGTTACGATTTTTGATAGTCCATAACGCACAAATTTGGTCATTTTTGGCCATACCACTTCTTGTTTTCCCGTATAAAAATATGTGTGAGTTTCATAGTTCAAGATTTCGTAGACCATAACCCACAATGTGGACATTTTTGACCAAATCACAAATTTTCATGAGCTGTTACCCATATTTTTGGTCATTTTTGACAAAATCACTTCTTGCTTCGCTCATAAAAAAATTTAAGAGAGGTCCAAAATTCATGACTTCTTGTGGACTCAAATTTTTGTTGTTTTTAGCCAAATTACTTCTTGCTTACCCGCCTAAAAATAATTATGTGACCTCCCAAATTCATGATTTCTCGTGGATTAGAACTCACGATTTTTGTCTTTTTTCTTTCTAAATCACTTCTTGCTTTCCCGCATAGAAATATTTTTACGAGCTTCCTTATTCATAATTGTTTCGTTGAAACTAACCTACATTTTTCATTCTTACGACCAAATCATGACTTCTTGAATACTATAGTCCACAATAATATTTTTTCACCAAAACATTTCTTGCTTTCCTGCACAGAAATTTGTTCTGAGCTCCCAAGTTCACGATTTCTTAGTGGACTACAATTCACAATTTTGGTCGTTTTTAGCAAAATCATGTTTTCTCATAAGCTTAACCTATAATTTCGACCATTTTTTACCGAAACACTTCTTACTTTCGCGCCCAAAATATTTATGCGAGCTATTAAATTCTCAATTTCTCATGGACAATCCCACAATTTTGATTGTTTTTGGCTAAATCACTTCTTGCTTTCCCGCATATAACTATTTTTGTAAGCTTTCAAATTCATAATTTTTCATGAAATATCCACAGTTTGTCATTTTCGAGCAAATCATGATTTCTCATGAACTGTAACTTACAATTTTGGTTCAATTTTTAGCCAAATCACTTCTTGCTTTCCACTGTATAATATTTTCACGAGCTCCAGAATTCACCGTTTCTCATGGACACCCACAAGTTTTGTTGTTTTTGGCCAACTCACAATTTTTTGTGGACTATAAACCATAGTTTTGTACATTTTGACCAAATAATTTCTTTCTTTCATGCAATGACATATTTATGCGAGTTCCCAAATTCATGATTTTTCGTGGACTATAACTCACAATTTTGGTGGTTTTTAGCCAAAGCACTTCTTGTTTCTCAAGTAGAAATATTTATGCGAGCTCCAAAAGTCACATATTTTCATAGACTATAACTCGCAATTTTGTTCCTTTTTTGCCAAACCATTGGTTGTTTTCCCGCATAAAAGTATTTCTGTGAGTTCTAAAATTCATGATTTCTTATGTACTATAATCCACAGTTTTGATCGTACTTTGCAAAATCACGATTTTTCATGGACTATAATCCACAATTTGGGTCATTTTATGGCAAATCTTTTCTTGATTTCCCACATAGAAATGTTATGCAAGCTTCCAAATTCACGATATCTTGTCGACTATAACTCACAATTTTGGTCATTTTTTAGCCAAGTCACTTATCTTCTCGCATAGAAAAATTTACTAAGCTCCCAAATTTATAATTTTTTATGGACTATAACCCACAATTTGGTCATTTATGGCCAAATCAAATCTTGATTTCCCGAATAGACATATTTATACGATCTTCCAAATACGTGGTTTTTCTCGTGGCTTATAACCCACAATTTTTCATCATTTTCTACCATATCACAGTTTTTTGTGGACTATGATCCACAATTTTAGTCGTTTTAGTCCAAATCTTTTCTTGATATCCCGCGTAGAAATATTATGCCAGCTTCGAAATTCACGATATCTGATTGACTATAACCCACAATCTTAGCCAAATTACTTCTTATTTTCTTGTGTAGAAATATTTATTGAGCTCCCAAATCACGATTTCTCATGGACTACTACCCACAATTTTGGTCTTTTTTTTTACCAAGTCACTTTTTATTTCCCACATAAAAAAATTGAAAAGAGGTCTAAAATTCATGACATCTTGTTGACACCCTACAATTGTGGTCATTTTTAGCGTAATCACTTCTTGCTTACCCACATAAAAATATTTATGTGAGCTCCCAAATTTATAATTTCTGATGGATTATAACCCTTAATTTTATCGTGTTATACCAAATCATAATTTTTCGTTGACTATAATCCACAATTCTGGTCATTTTAGGCCAAATCTTTCCTTGATTTCCCACATAGAAATATTATGTAAGATTCAAAATTCATGATATCTCGTCGACTATAACCCGCAATTTTGTTTTACCCAAATTATGATTTATCGTGGACTATAAACCCACAAATTTGGTCATTTTTGGGCCAAATCGCTTCTTATTCTCCAGTATAGAAATACACTTAGCTCCCAAATTCATGATTTCTCGTGGCTTATAAGCCACAATATTGGTCATTTGGCCAAGTCATGAGTTCT